AGATTACAAAGAAAATATATTCTTTCCTAATCTACGGATTTCAGCACCCTTTATTAATCTTGAATCTACTTTACTGTAGATAAATAAAGAACATTATCAATTAAACGAACGTGCAACTCCTTGAAATCTATATTTGTGCAATCTTATCGAAACAATTTCAAAAATGTGAATTTAAGCACCTGAAAGGAATTGGAATGTAATTGACTACAAAATCTTGGATGCCAGGACACAAGTGGAACTTCGGGTCAACGTACAATGTGTAGTCATGTGAAGTCAGCAAAAATTACATAGTTAAAAATAAAAAGTCATATAGATTGGAAATCGATTAAAGAATTACATACTTCAAAGACGCCGCAATACAGTGAAAATTGCGAATTTCTTAGCATGTCCCAGCGATAAAAGCTGCTGTTACTTATTTATTAAGGCGTTATCGCTTTATGGCAGCCACTTCGGCGGCTTTATGGTCCTCGGCAATCTCCCGTTGACCACACGCCCGTGAATCATGAAGTGAACACGCGACGAAAGCACGATTTCAATGTCGATAACTGTTTGCTCAGAAAATCAAAAGGAAAATTAAGGAATCGTGCCCGTGAACATGCTTATCGATTCAGTAAAAGTTTATGTTCCACCTGATATCCTGGGGACTTCTCCACCAATGTCGGCAGCTATGAGCTTCAGTTACGACACTCAATTCAGTTTGCACAGACGTTCACGGATTGTTCCAGATCAACAATTAATTCCGCGAACACGTTTGATAAAGGCATTTAGCTGGGAATTTTTGGGCTGGGTTAGACATGCAGCTGCCAGACCAAGATTAGATATTGGTTGGCCATAAAGCCAGGCTATAATTGTTCTTATTGAATCTAGGATGTTCTCCAAAACAGTTTCTGCGGACATTTTTAATCACTAGTCACATAAAAAAAAGGCCCCCCTTTTTTTTCCCCCCCCCCCCCTAAAAGCCGTTTTTTGGGGGTGGTCCCCCCTATAATTTTCGCCCCCCTAAAAGGGGGGGGAGAGAATATAAATATGTAGATTTTGATTGCTTTTAACTTTAATAAGGTGATTTAAGTAAACAATACTTTTTTATAGAGTTAAAATTTATATGAAACAAACTTTTTTAACGTTTTTGTTTTGGACAGTCGTTGATATTAACGACTAACCTATTAATTAAAATAGGTGCAATTTAGACCAGACTAAAATCTATGGATATCTATGGTTTTTTCACTTGCCAACCTTTTTTGTTAAATACCTACTTATTTTTTCTTGCTTATACCAGTTCAACTCCAAATATCATATCGATGTGGACTTCGAGGTGCCCAAAAAGCTGCAATGGTACTACGCTCCCGCCTTCTTCGGCTTCTGGCTGGTGCTCTACCTATCGCTGGTCAACACCCAGATGAACCACATGCCCCGGCCACTGACGCGCAGCGATGAGGCCAGTCATCCGGGCTCCTTCATTGCCCAGCGGGCCGAGGACACCCTGATCGAGTTGACGCGGATCGGACCGCGGGTTGTGGGCAGCATGGCCAACGAGGAGACCGCCGTGGAGTTCCTGCGCGCCGAGGTGGCCAAGGTGGAGGCCGAGATGAGCGATCGCCTCGAGATCGAGGTGGATGTGCAGCAGGCCAGCGGGGCATATATGCACTGGGAGATGGTCAACATGTACCAGGGCATCCAGAACGTGGTGGTCAGGCTCTCCGAAAAGAACTCAAGCAACGAGAACTACCTGCTGATCAACAGTCACTACGATTCGGTGCCCGGAAGTCCGGGAGCCGGCGACGATGGCTCCATGGTCGTGACCATGCTGGAGGTTATGCGAGTGTTGGCCAAGTCCGACGAGCCACTGGCCCATCCCATTGTCTTTCTGTTCAACGGAGCCGAAGAGAATCCGCTGCAGGCATCTCACGCCTTTATCACCCAGCATAAATGGGCCAAAAACTGCAAGTAAGTGTGGTCATTATTTCAAAAATGAAAAATAATTTTATGGTTAATTTATAAAACTGTGAAACCTACAGATCCTTAGGAATTAAGTAAGATTTTTATACTTTATCTAAGTTATAGCTTTAAATAAATCATACTATTAGCTAAAAAAAATGAAATTATAACTTATCTTGATCCTAACTCCACAGAGCTCTTATCAACTTGGATTCAGCTGGTAGTGGTGGCCGGGAGATCCTGTTCCAGTCGGGACCCAATCATCCGTGGCTGATGAACTACTATCGCAATGTGCCGCATCCCTTTGCGAATACGCTGGCCGAGGAGCTTTTCCAAGCCGGCTATATTCCCTCGGACACAGATTTTCGCATCTTCCGCGATTACGGAGGAGTTCCCGGTCTGGACATGGCTTACATCTTCAATGGCTACGTCTATCACACCAAGTACGACAGAATCAACGCCTTTCCGCGGGCCTCTTTCCAGCACACAGGCGATAATGTTCTATCACTGGCCCGATCACTGGCCAATGCACCGGAATTGGATGATACGGCCGTAGGTTAAAGTATAATCTACAATCTATAATCCTAATTCTGATAAATATGATCTAATTTCAGGCCCATTCCGAGGGGCACAACATCTTCTACGACTTTCTGGGCTGGTTCATGATCTTCTACACGGAAACGACGAGCATAATAGTGAATGTGGTGGTAACACTGCTCGCTCTCCTGGGCATCGGCATATCCCTGTACTTTATGTCCGTCCGCTCGGGCTGCAGCTGGAAGGGTGTCCTCCTGCGCTTCTCCATCACCGTTGCCATCCAGTTTACCTCTCTGGTCTTGGCCGTTGGTCTGGCACTTCTGGTGGCTCTTTTTATGGACGGTGTGGATCGGTCGTTGTCCTGGTTCACCTCTTCGTGGACCATCTTTGGCCTGTACCTGGCTCCCCATTATCTTTGGACTGAGCATTCTGCCTGCCTTGTATCTGGAGAAGACGAAGAGGGACCCGTTGGGCCTAGGATTCCGCATCCAGCTATTCATGCACTCGCACTGCATCTGCCTCATTGTGATTATGCTCACCCTGACCGGCCTGAGTATACGATCGGCCTATCTGATAATGCTCTGTGTGCTATTCGACATCGTGGCGCTGATTGTGAACCTGGTAACAAAGTGGCACCGAAAGGGTAATTTTATTGCTGTTATAGTCTCTGAGCGGGTTAAAGAACTTATTTAATACTTTACCGTTCAGCCTATTTGTTTGCCATCGCCGTCACCGTCTGCCAGATCCTGCCCTTCGTCTTCTTCACATATCTGTGCACCGTGGCTCTGGTGACCCTAATGCCGATGCAGGGACGATCGGGATCCTCGACCAATCCGGATATGGTTATAGCAGCTCTGGTCTGGCTATTTTCCCTCATGTTCGCCGGCTTTATTGTAGGTTTAACCTTATTTATTTTAATATTTTAAATTTTCTTTTTAATTACATTTTATTTGTTTAGGCCCCACTTATCTTGTTCTTCCGCAAGACGAGAACGATAGTCCTGTGCTTCCTGGGCATCACCATTCTGTTCATTATTATTGCTGTCACAAATGCCGGGTTTCCATACAAGGAAAAGACCTCGCCACAGCGATACTCCTTGATTGTAAGATTAATCCTTGAAGTTTGAATGTATTATTTGTAATTTTTAATATAAAACTATTGTAGCATGCTCACCGTCGTCTGCATAACGCCGATGGAAGTACTCGCATTGATGAGTCCGGGCTTTATATTTACCCGCAGGACCGACGCTTTGAGATTGCTCGAGGTAAGCAAGTAAAAGTTGATTAATATTAGATATTATATTTAGTCAATTTAAATCAATTTTCAGATGACATCGATGCCATTGGCGAGGCACACAAAGTAAGCGACTTTTGCGATGAGGAAATGTTCTGCGGCATGCCCCTTTACAACCATCGGTGGAACAAAGCCCGCCAGTACAGTCTGTGGATCGAAACTTCGGAGTCGCCCGAAATACCCACCGAATATCCAATGTTGGTGCTACAGGACTCCACCGAACTAGAGAGTCCCACCCAAAGGAGGTTTAACTTCACCCTGGCAGGACCCTCGCATATGGGAATATTCATAAATGTGAAAAACGACGCAAAAATACTGAACTGGTCCTTCAATGACACCCTCATACGAGAAGGAGCCGAGCCACCTTATATGGTGTACTTCTCCTACGGACTGGACGACAGTCCTCTTGAGTTCACCATCGATGTTGAGGTAAGCAATTAAATACTTCTATTCGTATGGTTAATAACATAACATTGTACTGTTTGCAGAAGACGACATCGACCTTTGACACGTCCACCCTAGAGATTGGTATCGGAGGTCACTGGGTGACCCAGGACATCACTGCTATTGAAAAGCTCAGCAGCTACATCAGTCGATTTCCGTCCTATGCCTATATACAGGGTTGGGTCGGCACCTACGAGACCTGGTACTTTTAAGGCCAAGCCACAAATGATATTGCTTCCGATTTACTAATTGTAGTCCTTAAGCGTTAACGATTAACTGTATAGAATCTGATACAAATTTATATATTTTATTAAACTACGTTACGAATACTATAATTACAAGCGAAAACCCTGATTTTGTTGTATACACTTTCACGGATATTTAGGTATGACGCTATTGAATAAATATCTCAATGCTCTATAAGTTTGCTTTGCGCAAACAAAACATGGAAAAAGTAAACAAAACAGGTGTGTAGAGCAAGCATTTCCCTATCAAAGCGAATTCCTCGGGGACCATCCATTAAGTGTTTTCGATCCGACAACAAAAGGCAAACTTATTTTCATTCTGAGATTTGAAACTGTTGAGCACAGCGGTGTTTTTTCTTTTTAGATTAAGAACAATATGGGGTATATGTATTCATTGAATACTATTCATGAACCCTCTAAAAGAGAACGCTGAAACGTTTATATACATAATTTTCGAAAAGAGTGTTTGCTAAAGAACACGTGAGCGTGAGAGTACGACTTTTCAGTCAAAATATTCTGATCAAGATGATTCGCCTGAGGGAAATAGCGTCTCAGTTAAGTTGTTTACCTCCAGAAAAGATGTGGCAAGCCATACGTTCCCGCTTCGATTCTTGCCAAAACAAGGTAAATATGCTGTTAAGACTCTAGTGCACAGTTTAAGTCCGGACTTTAAGAATTAATCATTTTTGACTTCCGAAAGAAATTCCACGGATAAAATTAAAATAAACAAGAGAGAACGCTATAGTCGGGTACCCCAAATATCTATCAAATACCCGTTACTCAGCTGGAGGGATTGCGTGAAAATGTAGCATTTTGGCTTGGCTTTATGCAGTCAAATAAAATAAATAAGTGTTTCCTAAAGTTCGAGAATTTATTAATAAGTTATTTTGTGTATAATTGCATAGATAACAAAATATACGCTGTGAAACCACGGTTACTACTAGAAAACAACCACGTTTTTACAATGCATAAATTGTCATTAGCATTGGAGCATAATATAAAAAAATAATATAGAAAAAACCCCGGGGGGGTTCCAGGGATTCCAATTCAGCGTTTCGATTTATTTCACAATGCATAAATTGTCATTAGCATTTAGAAGAGGCATCGGGAAAGTTTGAACGCGATGTCTTTAAAAGGGAGACTAGTTCGCACACGTTTAAACTATTAAAAAAAAGAATATATAACTTTATTTGTTGCGAAACATCTACTTCATAAATATAAATTATAATACCCTCTACAAGGGTATAAAGATTTCTTTGATGAGACACTATCAGCTTTGAACACATGTACATAAGCTTAACTAACGTATTTATTTCGATTTAATTCAAAATATTACATTCAGAGACATTTATGTTTTTTTTTTTTTTTTTTTTTTTTTTTTTTTTTTTTTTTAAAAAATTTTTAATTAAAAAATATATTTTTTTTTTTTTTATTTATAAAAATTATAAAAATTTTTTTTTTTTTTTTCTTTTTTTTTTTTTTTTTTTTTTTTTTTTTTTTTTTTTTTTAAATATAATTAAAAAATTTTTTAATTTTTTTTAAAAATTTTTAAAAAAAAATAAAAAAATTTATTTTTTTTTTTTATAAAAAAAATAAAAAATTTTTATTATAATTAAAATTTTTTATATTTTTTTTTTTTTTTTTTTTTTTTTTTTTTTTTTTTTTTTTTTTTTTTTTTTTTTTTTTATGGGGGGTTTTTTTTTTTTTTTTATTTAAAAAAAAAAAATATTTTTATTTTTTTTTTTTTTTTTTTTTTTTAATAAAATATTTTTTTTTTTTTATTTTTTTTTTTTTTTTTTTTTTTTTTTTTTTTTTTTTTATTAAGGGGGGGGGGTTTTTTTTTTTTTTTTTTTAAAAAAAAAAAAAAAGTAAAATTTTTTTTTTTTTTTTTTTAATTTTTTTTTTTTTTTTTTTTTTTTTTTTTTTTTTTTTTTTTTTTTTTTTTTTTATATTTTTGGGGTTTTAAAATCCGAAGTTACTTCCTCCTCGTTTTAAATAAGAATTAATATAAAACACTCAATGTATTTTGGGTAGAATCGCTTAAATAACAAAATTTTGAGTTTAACAAACGAATGTTTACAAGAACACAACAACGTTCATTACACCCTAAAAGTTGTCGTTAGCATTTAGAATGCACTACGATTAAAGATTTTAAGATGTCTTTTATGGGACACAGTCAGTTTACGATTTAGTTCCAAATGTTAGCATTTATAATGTTTTTTTAAAATAAGTTATTTTGGCCTTTAATTTAACTTTGTGGATACAAAAAGGTAGCATTTTGTTTCTTAAAGCTCAATTATTTACTAATTTAATATTTTGTACATAATTGCATAAATAACAAAATAAAAGGTGTGACAATACGATTAGTACAAGAAAACAACCAAATTTTCACACTCATTTAAAATTGTCATAAGCATTTAGAGAGCAACCACGTCTAAACATTTTTCTTTGATGCGACACTACCAGCTTTGAACATATGTACATAAGCTTAACTTCCGCATATATTTTGATTTAGTTCCAAATGTTAGATTCAGGGTTTTGGGTAGAATCGCTTAAATAATCAAATTTCTACAAGAAAACACTTCAGTAAAACACTTCCTTAAACCGTTGAATATTTGTAAAAATAACTTTTTTTCAGTTGTGACAGCGACGACTATCAGCTTTGAATTGAAGGATATGCACCTAGCTAGCGCTTATATATCAAATGTACCATACACTCTGATCAAATTGTTTAAACGATTTCCCAAATTAAAAAAAAAAAGTGTATTTATGAAAATCTTTTCTGATCTCAAAACCGTAATCAAAATTAAATGTTGGGGCTATTTACCAGCGATTGAGAAATTATACAAGTAAATTAATAGTGAATTTTTCTCAGTGTGCGTTACAACGATACTAAGGGGAGGCCGATTTTTCCTTGCAAATTCACTGGACCAAGCTTAAAAACAGCTTTGTTGACTGCAATGCCACGCCTACTTAACGCGGTCCAGCCTGATCCGTGAGGACCAACTGCACTTTGACAACAGAAGCAGAAGGATTCAAAGCTTTTTTCAATGCGTTACGTCAACACATATCCTCTCCAAACGCAGGATATCGAACAGTATAAAAATTTGCGGATTTTTCTTAGAATACTTACCGTAACAAACACAAAGCGAGCTAAAACATAAAATTTGGATAGATTGCGTTTAATACAGTGACTGCTCGTGGATGGTACCTTAGAAAAAAATGTTTGTTCCATATTTTTAAGTCCCAAGTTTTTTCAGTTTTCACCCGAGTGGGTTTTACAAGAGCTCTATTTACTGATATTTTAATAGGCATTTTGGACAAAAGACAAATTTGGCTTTTCATTGTTAAAAAAATGAATCATCACATACATCACCTTTCGAGGAATTAATGTCAAAATAGTAAGTAGTAGAACAGAGAGGTAAATCCGATTTTCAAATTGTTGTAACACCTACTTCTGAAATTAATTTTTAATTTAAAATGAATGATCTGCTAGGGTATATTAACTTCGTCTGCCCGAAAATATCCCCCATCTGAGAGCGTTGTGTCAACGCTTACCATATCCTTTGATACGATATTGAGCTGGCCAATATTTCTTTGCAAATCCACTGGAGCAAACTTTAATTAAGCTTTGTTGGCAGAATATACCACGCCCACCCAGTGCGGTCCAGCTTAATTCATGAAAACCAACTGCACTTTGACGATGGAAACGAAAGGCTTTTTTTGCTTTTTTTCAATGTGTTACGGCAAAACCCATCCCCTTCAAACAAAGTATATCGAAAAGTAGTAAACTGGCTGAATTTTCTTATTAAATTTATTGTAACCAAACATTAAGCAAGGCAAAACATAAAATTGGGACTTTAAAGTACATGAATACAGCCCACTGATTCTGATCAAGAATATGTATACTGTTGTTGGAATACAATTAGAAAGTACTTTCCACTTGGAAACAGTCGTGTGCACATATATTCCTAAGCAATAGTTATTGGGTTGTGGTGGGTCTAGTTTATCGTGGCGCATGAAGTCAATTATCGTTTACAATCTAGATAAATTTGTATATGCACTTATATTTTAGGGTTGCACTGATTCAAGAAAGTTTAGTTTTAACAATTCAAAATCTAATATTTTTTTAATAAAGTAATTTCATTTAATTAAATTTTATATATTTACGCTTTTTTGGTAAATTCAATTTTATGTTTGTTGTGGAAAATAATACTTTTGTCTTTCGTAAATAAAATAATCTTTTAACTTAATTCGAGCAATATATAATTTAGCTGCCTTGGGTCTAATATCTCAAGATTGTATAACTTTATAGGTCGGGTCGAAATTTGTTAGCATTGTCAGACTTCATAATAAGAGCAACTCTATTCGATTGCAGTTCAGGATATCTGACTATAATAAACATTAGAGATAAGTTAACTAAGAGTTGATAGATATTGTTCGCACAGAATCATAAAAACTGGTTATATTCAATGAAAGGTGAACACACTCCTTTGAAATAAAACCTTCATTGCTTATATGAGTAAATTAAAACATAGATCTATACCTAATTACCGAGAGAAGTTTTTAAAATTTCTATTAGTAAATGAACATAATTTACAGTTCAACTCCCGAAACTAGAATTTCTTAATCTCTATTTCTATAAGGCGAATTAGTTTGTTGCCCGTACAATTAATTCAATAAATCGAGTTTTAGTAAAAGCATTAAATTTTAGTGAATTTCATTTTATATTAAACTAACTTTTGTGTCTATAGCTCATAAATGAAAATGCATACCTATTACATAAAATACATTTTAAGACTTTTCTTTCGTTGTCAAACAAAAGTGCGTTAATTAAATGCCAACCTCGCCTCAATCTTTATCGACTTCTGCCACTAACAATAAATCATAATTAGCCGAGACATGAACATTGTTCATATGTGCAATAAATTTATTATAATTTTTATGACTTTTAACTGATATTCAACGATTTTGGGGGTATAAAAGAACTTGACTTTTGGCAAAGCAAAATAGTCTGATTTTAATCAAGGCAGTACGCTGAACTGCTTAGGTAGATCGATAAAATGGGAGACAAGGTCAAATTGGTAATCTCAGAACCTTAAGCAATATTTTACATTTATCCTAAATACAAATTTGTCTCTCCCAGATTTCTGATGAGCCCATCGAAGGTGACGTCAGGTCCGCATCCTGCAAAAAGAGAGTCCTGAAACAGGAGCAAAACTTCAGAGGACCCTGGTACTTGGCCAGCGGTTTCCTTCTGTTCTGGGCACTTTTATTCTTTGCGGTCGTGCTGCCACTCTTTTACCGCCTTCCCAAGGGCTTGACCATCGAGGACTCGCCCAAGGGAGCCTTTATCGCCGAACGTGCTCAGAACCATCTTTACGGATTCGACGAGATCGGAACCAAAGTGGTTGGCAGTGATGGCAATGAGAACAAAACGGTCGATTACCTGTTGGGCTTAGTGGCCGAAATTAGAGCGAGTTGCCTCGATGAGTACTTCGATGTGGAAGTCGATCTTCAGGTGGTCTCGGGGTCCTATATCCATTGGACCATGGTGAATCGGTATCAGGGCGTGCAGAACATTGTCATTAAGATGAGTCCCAAGAACACCACGAGTGAGTCCTATCTGCTGGTCAACAGTCACTTCGATTCCAAGCCCACGAGTCGATCTGCCGGCGATGCTGGTCAAATGATAGTCGCCATTCTGGAGGTCTTTCGAGTTATGTGCACCACCAAGCAAACTATTCGGCATACAATCATCTTTCTGCTGAACGGAGCCGAGGAGAATCCCTTGCAGGCTTCGCATGGATTTATCACCCAACACAAATGGGCACCGTACTGCAAGTAAGTCGATTTGGGTTAAAATTCGATCGCTAACTAAAATATCCGATTTGCAGGGCCTTAATCAATTTGGACGCTGCTGGCGGTGGAGGTTCCGATATAGTATTTCAGAGTGGACCCAATAGTCCCTGGCTTGTAGAAGTAAGTATCAATCACATACTATCGTTTTTATACCCGTTACTCGTAGAGTAAAAGGGTATATTGTATTCGTGCAAAAGTATGTAACAGCTAGAAGGAAGCGTTTCCGACCCCAAGTATATATATTCTTGATCAGGGTCACTAGCCGAGTCGATATAGCCATGTCCGTCCGTCCGTCTGTCCGTCTGTCTGTCCGTATGAACGCTGAGATCTCGGAAACTACAAAAGCTAGAAGGTTGAGATTTTCCACACATATTCTTGGGCTTCCTACGCAGCGCAAGTTTATCTTATAATTTGTCTGGCGCCCACACCTTTAAAGATTTCCGAGAAGTTTAAATGCAATTTTGTTGTGTATATTTATACCTATCGAAATTTAGAAGCCATTTTTTAAATCGGACCATTCATTAAAAAGTTATACGCAATCAAAAAATTGTATACATCCATCTCCCTCGCACTCTCTTTAGCCGAGTGACGGGTACTAGATAGTCGGGACACAAACCCGACTATAGCGTTCTGTCTTGTTTAATTTTTGAACTAATCTAAACAAACTTTATAGTACTATAAAAAAAGTGCTAAGCATCCATTAGCCACGACCATGGCTGAGGAAATCTTTCAAACTGGCATCCTGCCGTCTGACACCGATTTTGGCATCTTTGTTAAATATGGAAATCTAATTGGTAAGCTTGAAAAACATATTTGGTTATTATCGTTATATAAATCGTTCATCTTATAGGTCTGGATATTGCCCAATTTATCAATGGTTACTTCTATCACACCAAATACGATCGATTCGCCAATATTCCCAGAGGTTCCATTCAAAGCACGGGAGACAATTTGCTTAGTCTGGTGCGAGCCCTAGCAAATGCCACTGAGCTGGACAACACAGCGGTAAGAAAGCTAAGATCTCAATGAGTCATTGTGTAAAACCCCCTATCTCTTAGGCCTACGCCACTGGACATGCCATATTTTTCGATTTCCTGGGACTTTACTTCATCAGCTATACGGAAAGCAATGGCACTATTCTGAATTATTCCGTGGCCGGAATAGCACTCGTCCTGATATTCGTATCCATTTGGCGTACTGCAAACATTTCTTGTGTATCCACCGGATACGTTCTCAGCTGGTTCATTCTGATTTCTGTACTCCAGATCATAGCTTTTGTGCTGGGCTTTGGCCTGCCCGTTGCTGTAGCCTATGTTTTCGATAAGTACGGACTTTCACTCACCTACTTTAGTACTCCGGGCTTGTTGATCGGTCTGTACATTTGCCCAAGTCTCCTGGGGTTGAGCTTACCCTCTTACATCTACCTTAAGTTACAGCGAAACGTGAGTAGAAATGGTATTTTAGAAGGCCACAAATAAGTAAGAAATTCGTATTCATACAGTTTAAGGTACCCTTTGCCCAACAACTGCAATTGGTTCTACATGGTCATGCTGCAATATTGGCAATTCTGGGCATTGGACTCACTGTTTATGGGCTGCGAAGCACCTATGTGGTCACCTGGACACTCATCTTCTACGTAATTCCCTTGAGCATAAATCTGCTAACCACTCTGCACGATCGCGGCTTCTCCTGGACTGGTGTGCTCAAGATTTTCCAAGTCATTCCGTTCCTGTACAACAGCTATCTGATTTACACATTCGTGGTGACCCTGATCCCAATGATGGGTCGTTTCGGCAGGTGAGATTTTGAAACTTTGGTAAGATACCTGGGAGTAACCTTTTGGATTTACAGGTCCACCAATCCGGATTTGATTATCTCAGCTTTGAATGCTTTGGGAACCGTTTTGGCCTTGGGTTTCTTGGTGAGAAGAAGATATGATACAATGGCTTACCCAAACTAACAAAGCATCTTTTCCTAGATACCCCTAGTTAATATGTTCCGCAGACCCAGCATGATCCTGCTCAGCCTGTTGGCCATAAGTTCTGTGACCATTTACACGGCTACATCCACCCAAATTGGTTTTCCCTATCGACCTAGGACCAATGTTCAGCGATTACCTTACCTGGTTTGTGATTTTACCTCTTTTCAAGACATTGGTTAACATTTCGCTCATATTTCAGCAAGTGCGACGTATTTTCTACGAATTCGATGGCACAGTTGTCAAGGACGACTCCGGTTATCTGTTCAACTTCCAGGATCGTCGGGGACCGGCTCCCTTGAAGAGCTCCAAGGTCAATCTGACTGGATTGGTTAGCATTGCCGCGGACTGTGACAAGGTTATGATGTGCGGTTATCCCCTTTACGACCACCGTTGGGTTAAGAATCGCATGCAGATAATGTGGCTGCCTCGAGAGGAACCAATCGTTCCTCCAAATGTACCGGTACTTCAGCTTTTGGAAAAGACGGACCTGGGAAACAACATAATGCGCTATAGTTTCATTTGTGAAAAACCCTCGGATCACACCAGCGTTTATATCCTGCCGCAGGAAGATGTGACCATTTCCAATTGGACGTTACCTCTGGAGTACATTGCTCAGCAGACGACTTATCATCTTTACTACTCTCGTGGCACGGATTATTCACCATTGACTTTCTCCATAGATTTCTGGGTAAGTACCAGGTGAGTCTACTGGAAATCGGAAAATAATCTATCTTCCTTTTCCTTAGAAACAAGATGCTGATTTTGTTGTACCCGTGACCCAGATAGGATTGGCGACCCATTCCATTGGCGATGACGGCGATGCTATCAGTCAAGAGTTCGCAAAATTGCTCCCATCATATGCTGCCCTAGTTCAATGGCCAGCATTATATCAACGGTACATTTTCTAAGTAATTAAGATAATGTGTGAAAATGAATTAATAAACTACACAGTGCAACATGAAAAATGTAACCGCAATTCTGATTTCATGGTCGGAAAGAACTCATCGAAATAAGCTAAAACCCATTTGGTTTCTCTGGCTTACTCGCGTTTACCTTTTATAGCGAGTTAAAGTTTACATACAAAATTTATTTGTAACGGCCAATCTGGAACCGATTATAATTTCACTATCAAGTCTTCAGTGATTATGTAGCAGAACCCAAGGAACTAAATTGACAAATGACTCTTGCGCACTTAGCACCTAGTGCATCTAGCGCGTTAAAAAACAAATTTGCATAATTTTTCGATTTTTAACGCGCTAGGTGTACGTCTTCGCAAGAGTCATTTGTCAATTTAGTTCCTTGGATTCATAGCTACATAATCACTGAAGACTTGATAGTGAAATTTTAATCGGTTCAAAAGATATGGCCGTTACAAATAAATTTTGTATGAAAACTTTAACTCGCTATAAAAGGTAAACGCGAGCAAGCCACCAAATGGGTTTTAGCTTATTTCGATGAGTTCTTTCCGCCCATGAAATCAGAATTGCGGTTACATTTTATAACCCTAAAAATGTTGCACAGTGCTATTGAGCAATTTAAATCTGTTTTTTTTTAATAATCATCACAATTTTTAAGGATTGCAATGAACTACCAACCATTAAGTTTGTCCTAATTATCTACAAATATTTTGATAAGAAAGCTGGAAAAGTAAAATTTCAGTTAGGCTTTAATAATTCAAATTAAAGTACACTGGGCACCCTGTTGGCGCCACATTGTGCTGTTAGGCGCGGGCACACAAACGTTATCGATATACATATAACAGCAATTTCCGATTAATGTTGCCGTTAATTTAAATTAAAAAAAGCTAACATGCAAATTAATTAAGGCTCTCTTAAGTAATTACAAGTTATGTAACATGGTAAAATATAAAACGGAATACTTTTAAGAAAAAAGCGACATTACTTGCCTTAAAAAAAAAAAGTATATAACAAATTTGGACTTGGGACACTCTGATAAAAAGTCTATAAAAGAATCTATAAATAAAAAAACTATTTACATATGTATGTAGACTTTTGGCGTTGCTAGAATGATAATAGCTGAATTGGCAGAACTAATGATACATATACATACATAGACACAAGTGTACGTGCCAATCGAGTAAAGTATTGAAATAACCACAACAATCTGCGATCGGTAGCCACATTAAATCCGCTGCATTATAAAATTACTTCGAGAACGGTCTATTGAATATAAAAAGAAGTAGTAAATATATACGTATTTTAAACTCGTGTGGCTGTAGAAATTACTCATTTACATTTTATTTTGTTATGTGCCGGTCGCTGTTCTAAATATACGGACTTTTACATATTTCTAGCCCTCATTTACAACAAAAAAAACATCAGAAAAGGGGGATTCCCCTGGTATTCGGTAGCATGTATAGAACAGCAAGTCTGCTGAGTATTTAGTAGCCAGACGAATTGGAGCCACAATCAACGTTTCAGACGTTCGATAAAACATAGCATATTGGACACCATGGATTTTCTTTCAAGTGTAAGTGCTATCAATTTATTAGTAAGCAAGCAAAAGTTTCTAAACAGTGTCTAAAACTATACAGCTCATTTACTTGCTTGGCTTTTATTGTTTGATAACAGCATTTATGGAATTATGATTATTATCTCATAAATCAGTTGCGTGCAAATCAAATACGAGGCACTTTAAAAGGTCAATTTAGATTCAAGAGTTCAAGTCTACAAGTATAAGTGTGTTGAACAGATAAAGAAATCAGTTTGGTTTGAATTTTACGCATTTATTATTACCCAATAAAATCAAAACAGTTCAAATATCTTAATATCCAAACATTAACTAGCCGAGTTAATTATTACTGCGGCCATAACTAGATACGAAATCAATTTATGAGGTGTTGAAAGGTTATAAAAGCAGGTACCATTCGTTATTGACCATTTAGTCGCATGTTAGAGCGCAAAGATGAGTGACACCGAAAACCTTGTAAAGAAATCGGTCTCTAGTACAAGTATTAATTATAGTAATTCACAATGTTTTCATTTCAGACATTTAAAAAATCCGGTAAAAAGCTGAGTAAACGATTACGAAATCCCAGAGGTCCCTGTTTTTTGGCCAGTGGTTTCTATCTGTTTTGGCTGCTCCTCTTCCTGGCAGTCGTTGTGCCACTGTTCCATCGTGTTCCCGGTCCCAAATCCATTGAGGATGCCTCCAAGGGAGTCTTTATTGCCCAACGGGCAATGGACAATCTGTACAATCTTGTGAAAATCGGACCCAAAGTAGTTGGCAGCGAAAATAACGAGATTAAAACGGTGCAGTTTCTGCTGAAAGAATTGGCTCTTATCGAGGAGAATGTATTGGACGACCTGTTCGACATTGAAGTAGATCTGCAGGAGGTCTCAGGATCGTACATTCATTGGACAATGGTGAACAAGTATCAGGGAGTGCAAAATATTGTTATAAAACTGAGTCCCAAGAACTGCACCAGTGAAACCTACCTGTTAGTCAATAGCCATTTTGATTCCAAGCCAACGAGTCCTTCTGCCGGCGACGCAGGTCAAATGGTGGCCATCATCTTGGAGGTTCTACGTGTGGTGTCCACCACCAGACAAACGTTCATGCACCCAATTATCTTCCTGCTGAACGGCGCCGAGGAGAATCCTCTACAAGCCTCACACGGCTTCATAACCCAACACAAATGGGCTCCATTTTGCAAGTGAGTTGATGCGCAAACTAACCAAACTTTTATTATAGCAAACTTCTTGATTTGTAGGGTTTTTCTCAATCTGGAAGGATGTGCCGGCGGAGGTCGCGAATTACTCTTTCAAACTGGACCCAACCATCCCTGGCTAGTAGACGTAAGCCCTCTCCGATTTTTTTCTATATTTCTCTATAAAATGCAAAATACTTTAGTACTACAAGAAACACGCCAAACATCCATTCGCCACAACCGTGGGCGAGGAAATCTTCCAAACCGGATCCATGCCCTCTGACACGGATTTTGGTATTTTGACTAAATATGGAAACCTCATTGGTAAGTAAAATACTATTGAACACATAAATTTTCAATATTTTCTATATATCTTACTTAGGTTTGGATATGGCCCAGAACATCAACGGCTATACCTATCACACGAAGTACGATACCTATGACATTATCCCATCTGATTCTGTTCAGAGTATGGGTGAAAATGTACTCAGTTTAGTTCGAGCCCTATCCAATGCCACTGAACTACGAAACACTGCGGTATGTTTATGCAGCTCTATCCCTAGTTATTAAATTAACCTATTTCTTTTATAGGACTACGAACAAGGACCATCTATATTTTTTGACGTTTTGGGATTGCATTTCATTAACTACACTAACAAAACTGGCATTATTCTAAACTTCTCTGTGGCCATAGCGGCCATACTGCTAATCTACTTATCCCTCGGTCGCATGGCAAACCATTCCGAAGTTTCTACCGGCTTTATGTTGTCCTGGTTCGGTCTGATTTTAATCGTACAAATCATCGCCGTTGTCCTTGGCCTGGGACTACCCATATGGATTGCAAATTATTTCGATAGTCAGGGTCTGAGCCTTACCTACTTTAGTACAAAGGAGTTGATGTTCGGATTGTATGTGTGTCCAACTCTGTTTGGCCTGCTTTTGCCGCCCTTCATATTTTTGGGACTTCCACGGCACGTAAGTAAGAAAATATTCCATAAATTTATTGATGTATTTCATATATCCACTTAGAGCAAAACGCGCTTTCACCAACAACTACATATGGTTTGTCATGCTCACGCCATCATATTAGCGGCCCTGGTAATCGGATTGACTTTGTATGGTCTTCGGAGCACCTATGTGATTACCTGGACTCTCCTGTTATACGTAATTGCCCTGGCCATCAACCTGATAACCCCTCTGCATGATCAGGGAATTTCGTGGACAGGAGCAGTGGTCATCTCTCAACTTTTTGCATTTTTGTACAACAGCTATCTGATGTATACTCTTGTGCAGACGATGATTGCTATGATGGGACGCTTTGGCAGGTGGGTTTCTACAGAAGCTAGCTTCCTAAATATATACATATACAATCCCTTGCTTTTAGGTCCACGAATCCGGACTTACTTATGTCTGCCATTAACGCATTGGGAACTATTCTGGCAATGGGCTTCTTGGTGGGTACATAATTTTATAAGCTCCACGTGATAATTAATCCAAAGAAATTTGGTCTGTTTAGGTTCCCATTGTTATTATATTCCGTCGACCTGGGTATATCTTAATCACTCTGTTGACAGTGTTTGGTCTAAGTGTTTTGACAGCCCTGTACACCCCTCTTGGATTTCCCTATCGGCCAAGGACCAACGTTGAAAGAGTGCCCTATCTGGTAAATATTTGGATTTCTTGATAACAATATATTTCTTATATCCATATTTTATTCCTCGCAGCATGTGCGACGTACCTTCTACGAATATGATGGGAATGTTAGCAAAGAAGACTCCGGCTACCTGTTTAATTTCCAGGATCGTCGTGGACCGGCTCCTTTGGAAGGAACCAATGTGAACCTAACTGGATTAATTGGCATCGCATCGGAGTGTGAGAAGCATATGATGTGTGGACAACCACTTTACGATCACCGATGGGTGAAGAATCGTTTGAACGCCATGTGGCTGCCGCGTGAGGAACTGATAGATCCTCCTTATGTGCCCAATGTAAAGCTAATAAGCAAAATTATACTGGCCGATAAGACAACGGTCCGATTCAAGTTCACGATTAATACAACGGATCACACCAGTCTGTTTATCCAACCATTTGAGGACGTTAACATTACCAACTGGACGTTTCCACCTGAATACCTTGGACAGCAAAGCACCTATCATGTTTACTTCTCATATGGCAAGGACAGCTCGCCATTATCCTTTTTTATAGAACTCTCGGTAAGTTAGCCCTTGTTGTATAAAACTCATTCAAAATAATTTAAGTTCCTTTATCCTAGAAATCCAATGGCGACTTCAAAGTTCCCCTCTTCCAGTTGGGCGTGTGCGCCCACTTTATTGGCAACAAGGGCGATGAATTGAGCCAGAACTTTGCCAAATCTTTTCCGGACTATGCCGTGCTGATCGAGTGGCCGACCTCATATCAACGATTCATTTTCTAAAAATCAAACAGTCTTATATATGAGTTGGGATCTGGAAAACAGCCCTCTCATGCTAGTCCTACCATATAAACCATATAAAATAGAGGAGTGATCCATAACACGCGAAGTATACTTAAGTGCCAATAATAAAAACCTTATTTTCGATTTCTTTATAAAACTACTTTTTTGGGGGTTTGGAAAAAAAATTATAATCTTAATTTTATGGCTACGTCTACAGATTAGTGAAAATCCCCCAAGCTGTATATATTTCAAAGTGTTAGGCATTACAACTAAGCTGATTGATTTTTGGTTAAAAATACATAATATAAAACGTTTTAAAAACAGTAATGCATTTAACATATTTTTAAAGATGAATATAATGCCAATTTTCCATTCAATAGATATGGTACTATCAAAGAGCATGTATTTGATAACCACAAGCGCGTGTTTCGTATTAAAGCACCCACTTTATAATCCAATAAATTATGTCGCGATGATTCCATTTACCCATAATTAAGTACTTCGATGCCACGGGTATAAGTATGAAATAATTGTTTTTCTATGGCCCCTAAAATACTTGGTAACAACTAATGTTCGGTTGCGCTGGGCCTGAAACCAGAACCATTTCTTATCAACATAAAAAAAAGAAATCGAATTCGTTTGGGTTATCAGAAATCAGCTATATCTGCACAGCTTTATGGTTATTACACACTCATAAATGCGTAGCCCTTTCAAGAGCAGTTCGGGTAATTATGAAGGTAGGTCGGTTAACAAAATATACCAGTTAAAATGGATATAATATTAAATAAGATATCCAGAATAATATATAAACCTAATTCTGCTATAGCCAAGTTTGTAGAAGTTTTTATGTGTTGGTTCTTTTTTAGCGACCCTCGCTGTGCTATTACTTTTTGAATAGGGCACATAGGGAGATTTGAGCAATAAAAACTTAAAGATATGATCGATTAAAAATGGCTGATTATTTTGGGTATATAAAAGCGCTTGGAAAGCGAAGCAAGTCTGTCTAGTTTTGCCTTCCGTGTTGTAAGTAAGGCTGTGTCGGCAGAACCAAAAGAAATGGGCGACAAGGACAAGCTGGTAAGGATAGTTGTTATATTTATGTGGCTAAATCAACTACAAATATATCTTTTTTTTAGATCTTAGACGAACACGTGGAGGAAGGAGTCAAGTCGTACTCCAGGAGGCAAGGAAAAAAACAAAAAGGATACTTTCAGCTTCCCTGGTACTTTGCCGGTGGCATCGTCCTGTTCTGGGGACTGCTCTTCATTGCGGTGGTGAAGCCCCTGTTCTACCGCCTCCCCGAACCCCTGACTGTTGAGGATGCCGGCAAAGGTGTCTTTATAGCCGAACGTGCCCAGGCAAATCTCTATGATTTCGAAGCCATCGGCACCAAGGTCGTTGGCAGCGATGGAAACGAGATTAAGACCGTGCAGTTTCTGCTGAAGGAATTGAATCTAATAAAGGCGAACATTCAGGCAGATCTTTTCGACATGGAAATCGACCTACAGTATGCCTACGGTGCCTATGTGAAGTGGAACCTGGTCAACATGTACCAGGGCATCCAGAATGTCGTGGTTAAGCTCACGCCCAAGGGCACGACCAGTGAGAACTACATCCTGGTTAACAGCCACTTTGACTCCCAGCCCACCAGTCCCTCCACCGGTGACGATGGTCACATGGTGGTCTCCATTCTGGAGGTGTTGCGCGTCATCTCTTCGTCGAGGGTTCCGTTCGAGCACCCAATAATCTTCCTGATCAACGGATCCGAGGAGAATTCACTGCAGGCATCGCACGGATTCATTGCCTACCACAAATGGGCAAAGAACTGCAAGTGAGTTTATATTATATAGCGCAGATCCAGAATTAGATTTATGAAATCTATATTATTTTAAAGGGTTGTCATCAATCTGGATGCAGCTGGCAGTGGCGGTCGCGAAATTATGTTCCAGACGGGACCAAAGAACCCATGGTTGGTCAATGTAAGAACCTTTGCATTAACTCTGGAAAATACTTATATGCCTAATTACTCGATTACATATACTCCAGATTTACAAAAAGGGCGCCAAGCATTATTTTTCCACCACAATGGCCGAGGAAATCTTTCAAACCGGCCTAGTGCCATCCTATACCGATTTTGATATTTTCGTTGAATACGGAAATCTTATTGGTGAGTCTAGGAAATCATTAAGTTTAATGTTTCGAAAGACTAAGGATGATTTTATTGGCAGGTCTGGATATTGGACAGTGCATCAATGGTTTCGTCTATCACACCAAGTGGGATCGGATTGATGTGATTCCCCGGGCTGCTCTTCAAAACACAGGCGATAACCTTCTCGGTTTGGTTCGAACCCTGTCCAATGCCACGGAGTTGCGTAACCCCAGCGTAGGTTACTATATTTTAAGTGATAAAGCTTTTATTTAATTAAGAATTTCTTATGACCATTTCAGGCAAACACAGGTGGAAATACCATCTTTTTCGATGTTCTTGGACTGTACCTCATCAGCTATTCAAACGAAACGGCAGTGAAGCTCAACTATGCCGTGGCTGCAGCTGCCATTATCCTGGTCTATGTGTCCTTTCTGCGCATAGCAGATAAATCCGATGTCAATTCCGAACAGGTCCTGGGCTCCTTTGTCTTGGTTCTAGTGGTTCAGGTTATTGCCTTTGTTTTGGCTCTGGCCCTGCCCCTTTTGGTGGCCTATGGCCTGGACAAATACGGCTTCTCCCTCAGCTACTTTGCCACTCCATCCCTTCTGGTTGGCCTTTATGTGTGCCCCAGTCTTTTTGGACTTGCGCTGCCCAGTTTCATCTATCTGAAGCTGAAGAGTAATGTAAGTTTGTACGATAGGCACCGATTTCTAAGGACTAACCCTTAACACCCGAACAGAATAAGATTCCATTTGCCCAACAAGTTCAATTGGTACTCCATGGACACGCCGCCGTCCTCTCGGTTCTCTGCATTGGAATCAACTACTATGGCCTGCGCACCACCTATGTTATCACTTGGACGCTCATTTTCTACGTCGTTCCCTTAGCCTTCAATCTTCTGACCACCCTGCACGATCGCGGTTTCTCGTGGACGGGCATCTTGAAAATTGTCCAGGTTGCTCCGTTCCTGTACAACAGCTACCTCTTCTACTGCTTTATCGTGATACTCACGCCCATGATGGGACGCTTTGGCTTGGACACCAATCCGGATTTGTAGATTGGTGGTTTGACTGCCCTGGGAACCATCTTGTCCATGGGTTTTTTGGTGAGTTAAACTTGGGGTTTTACCTAAAAAATATTTTATATATTTTTATATTCTCCTTAGATCCTGCTGATCAACATGTCCCGCCGTTCCGGATTTGTTCTCTTCACTCTCTTATCGGTGGCCGCCGCCGCCGTGGCCATTGCCAGTTCCTCCGACATTGGATTTCCCTACCGCGCCAAGACCAACGTGCAGCGAGTTCCCTACTTGGTTAGTTTGGAGCCTTAAATCTATAAATAAAAGTTATATCACTAATATCCTATTGACTTGCAGCAAGTGCGTCGGGTGTTCTACGAGTACGATGGAACCGTCAGCAAGGATGAGTCCGGATATCTGTTCAATTTCCAGGATCGTCGGGGAGTTACTCCGTTGCTCGAGGAATCCAGTGTGGATCTGACCGGCCTGGTGAACATGACATCCGACTGTGCCAAGTACATGATGTGCGGCATGCCCCTGTACGATCATCGTTGGGTGGAGGCCATGGAAGATACCATGTGGCTGCCGCGAGAGAATCCCGTTTGGACGCCAGCTGAGCCCATCCTGGAGCTATTGAACAAGACCGTCCTGTCCGATGGCAAGACCATTCGATTCGAATTCAATCTGAACTGTACGGATCACACCAGCATTTTCATTCAGCCCAACGAGGATGTCACCGTCAGCGACTGGTCGTTCCTCAAGGAATACCTGACCTCCAACTCACCACCGTATCATATTTACTATTCCTACGGAATCGACAATACTCCTCTTAATTTTTCAATCGATCTTACGGTATGAAAATTGAATGTTTTTGTTAGAACCCGGATTTAATTTCCATTTATTCCCACAGAAATCCGATGCCGACTTCGATGTCCCACTTTTCGAGTTGGGAGTTTCAGCACAGTACATGCACGTTGATGGTGATGATGAAGCCGTTCGGTTTGCCAAGACTTTCCCCGATTACGCTGTGACCATTCAGTGGCCAGCTATTTATAAGAAATACCAATTCTAAGTTGTTATTTTGTTATTATATAACAAAATGTTTTGTTTTACACAAATACAAATATAATATATACAAATTTTAAAATGATCTGTTTTATTATTAAAGGTATAGAGGGGACTGCAATGTGCACATTGAACTTATGAAGGTCACATTCGATTTTTGAATCATCCCTTAGGTCGTAAATATTCATACATTTAAGACTCGCGCTTTCTTGGATACATACAACTTTTTGCAAATCTTTATCACGGGGAATTTCTAACGTGAAAATTACTTTTCAAAGTTCTCGACTTGCCCGATAGTCTATCTTGATTCCTATCTCTAGGCTAATTACGAAAAAAGATTACAAATTATAATTTATAATACCACTTGAAACTTGTCAAAAATTTCCCTATAATCATTAGCAATTAAAAATTATCGGAATTGATTCACTGGTCGCCACACATATAAAATGTTAATAAAGTTATGTGAACTTAGCGCCATTTTTTCATTGTATTAAACTCAAAAGTTTTAAACATCTATGCATCAGAGTAAACGCGAAAGACGGTTTTCAACTGCGACTCTCCAGGTAAAAAGACGTTAGGCAAAAATTATATTCACTTGGTTTGGAAAATACCATGCAACTTCTTAAAAATACATCTATGAATTTATCTCTTTTGAGTTGAGAACTCGTCTGCCAATACATATTAACGAGATTTGATCCTGTATGCCAAAAAAAATTGAATCATCAGCACACCTTATTATTTATTGTCCGTTATGAACGGCCTTAAATGGCTCTCGAATTCAAATTGTTTGATCAAGTGATAAGCAATAATGATTGGTAACAATCACCAAGTTGCGGTGGGTCCGAAACCATAAAGATCCATAATCGACAAAAAAAAGGCGTGTGAAAATGCTTGAGACATAACGATTAAGTTCAAGTTTTATTGCTCTTTGATTCCCACGCGGGTAGTTTGATTAGTTGGAATAATTCCTGTTCAATATTAAACTTATTTATCCTACTTTTATGTATTATGTTACTTATGGGCAATGTATTTAAATGAACTTTTAATTTGTCGATCGTTAAGGGATTTATTTATGTTGGCAATAGACTGTTGCATTGGCAGACAAAAAAAATATTAAATGTCTCAAAATAGTTTCTTAGTAAGGCTTTATCTCGATCCACCCTCGATTTTATTACATTAAATTGGTAATAAGCCATAATCGAAATAACCAAACGCGTGTACGATAACTGAAATGCTAATTCATTATCAAAGGTTATTCGAACCGTTTTATGAATATAAAAGCCTCCCATTTTCAATCAGACCCATTCTGCAGAATACATCGTTCTGAGCAGCAGTCACAGATCAGCAGAATGGGCGACAAGGACCAGCTTGTAAGGAAATAATTTGAATTCTAAAAGGGTTTGGTAAACTAACTAGTACCTATTTTTAGTTGTCGGAATCAGTTGATTCAATTGAATCGGGCAAGGTCAAGAGTTATGTAGGAAAGAAGAGTAAGATACCCAAAATTCCTTGGTATATGGCCGGTGGCTTTGTCCTCTTCTGGGCCTCGCTCTTCCTGGCGGTCGTGGTGCCCCTTTTCTACCGCCTTCCCCAGGCCAATACACTCGAGGATGTTGGCAAAGGTGTCTTTATCGCAGAACGCGCCCAGGAAAACCTCTACGAATTTGCCAAGATCGGCACAAAGTTGGTCGGAAGCGATGGAAACGAGAACAAAACCGTGCAGTTTATTCTGAATGAATTGGCCAAAATTAAGGCGAATGTTCTAGAAGAATATTTCGAAATGGAGATTGACCACCAGGTGGCATACGGTTCGTATGTCAGGGGCGGAGCACAATACCAATACCAGGGCGTTCAGAACATTGTGGTTAAAGTAACGCCCAAGGGCAGTACGAGCCAAAATTACCTGCTGGTGAACTCCCACTTCGACTCAAAGCCCACAAGTCCATCGGCCGCCGATGCTGGCCACATGTGTGTGACCATGTTGGAGGTCATCCGAATCATCACAACCTGCAGGGAAAAGTTCACCCACCCGATTATCTTCCTTTTCAACGGTTCCGAGGAGAATTCCCTGCAGGCATCGGACGGTTTCCTTAGCCTACACAAATGGGCGCCATTCTGCAGGTGAGTTCGGGGGGATTCTCATTAGGTCTTTAAAAATATGTCTTCAAATTCTTGTATTTAAAGGGTCGTAATTAATTTGGATGCAGCTGGCAGTGGTTGTAAGGAGCTATTATTCCAAACAGGACCCAACAACACTTGGCTTGTCAAGGTAACGACTTATAAATCACTTTAATAAGACAGGATTCAAATCAACCGATTTATCTATGTCTTGCAGTACTACAAAGAGAATGCCAAGCATCCATTCGCTACCACCATGGCTGAGGAAATTTTCCAAACTGGTATTGTGCCCTCTGACACTGACTTTGTTATCTTCTCCGAGTATGCTAATCTCGTTGGTAAGGAACAATAACTAAATATATTTTTAAGTACTAATACTGATGATTGCAAATCGCAGGGTATGATATTGGTCTGGTGTGCAACGGTTTCGTCTATCACACAAAGTACGATCGATATGATATCATCCCTCGGGAGTCTATTCAAAACACTGGAGACAACCTTTTGGGCCTGGTCAAGGCCCTTGCCAATGCTCCAGAATTGGCAGACACCACTGTAAGTTTACTTAACCACTGACTAGGTTTTTCGCAATAGCTTGTAATATTTCCGCATTTTAGGAGACCGGAAAAGCCGTATTCTTCGATGTCCTAGGACTGTTCTTCGTTAGCTACTCGGCGGACAGTGGAAAAACTCTTAACTATGCCGTGGCTGGAGTCGCTATTATCCTGGTTTATGTATCCCTCTTGCGCATTGCTGAGGTCTCCAGTGTAACCTCCGCTCAGGTTCTGAGCTGGTTCGTCCTCATCCTGGTCCTCCAAGTGGTAGCCTTTGTGCTGGGACTAGCTCTTCCCGTGGTGGTTGCATACATGTTTGATAAGTATGGACTTAGCATGACCTACTTCAGCACTCCGGCTCTTTCACTGGGACTATATGTTTGCCCGAGTCTTGTGGGTCTGGCACTTCCCAGTTTCGTTTACTTGAAGTTGCAGAAGAATGTGAGTTTAAACGAGTGCATTTTTATGAAATAACTAATATGTTCTGTTCGTAGGAGAAGCTTACCCATGCCCACCAACTGCAAATGGCTCTCCATGGACATGCCATAGTCCTGTCGATCCTTGGCATCGCCATCAATTACTACGGCCTCCGTAGTACCTATATCATCACTTGGACTTTGGTCTTCTATGTCATCCCCTTGGCGCTCAATTTGCTGAGCACTCTGCAGGATCGCGGATACTCATGGACCGGGGTCTTGAAAATCATCCAGGTCGTCCCCTTCCTGTACAACAGCTATCTTTTCTACACATTCATCGTAATTCTCACCCCAATGATGGGTCGTTTTGGACAGTAAGTATGACAGGGTAAAGAAAAAGAAAATCTTTTCTTATTCCGTTTCCTTTTCTAGAACCACCAATCCTGACTTGATCATCTCTGCCTTAGCCGCTTTGGGAACTATTTTTTCGATGGGCTTTTTGGTAAGTTTTTCAGTGCTTTAGATAATTGAATTTCTAATTACTAAACTGTTAAACTTTAGATTTTGCTTATAAATATATCACGTCGATCGGGTATCATTCTGGTGGCTCTGCTGGCCGTCAGTGCGGCCACTATTTACATTGCCAGCTCCACGGATATTGGTTTCCCATATCGTCCGAGGACCAATGTCGAAAGGGTATACTATTTGGTAAGTGAGATAAATAATACTAAGGCTTTAAGGATGCGTTTAATAGACTTCTTATTTCGTTTACAGCACGTGCGCCGAATCTTTTACGAATACGATGGAACCGTTAGCAAGGACGAGTCCGGATATCTGTTCAACTTCCAGGATCGTCGTGGTAGTGCTCCTCTTATTGAGGCCGGAGTGGATCTTACAGGCAGTGTGAGCATGGCATCCGACTGTTCAAAGTACATGATGTGCGGAGTGCCATATCCCGATTCCCGCTATGTGAAGAGTCGTCTGAACGGAACTTGGCTGGCACGAGAAAAAGTCATACCCATACCAACGACCGAAGAACCCTTAGTCCTGCTGAACAAAACTATTCTGGACGATGGCATAACGGTTCGGTTTGTCTTCGAGATCCGATTCACAGACCATTCGACTCTGTACATCCAGCCCTATGTGGATGCTACCATCACCAAGTGGTCGCTAGATGAGAGCTATTTGTCCAGTACCCCTCCCTATTACATGTTCTTCACTTACGGCGTGGATGGCTCTCCGCTAATCGTAACCATTGAGATCCAGGTATGTCGTTGGAGAATCTTCTCCCCAGAAATGCATATTAAAAGGTTTTTTTTTTATTTTTTAGAAATCCAATGGGGACTTTGAAGTACCAGTCTGTGAAATCGGAGTTGGCCGGCAGTTTATGCATACTTCTGGCGATATTACTGCTCAGGAATTTGCCAAAACATTCCCCGAATACGCGGTCCTAATTGAATGGCCAGCGGATTACCACCGATACATAGTTTAATTTAAGTGTATGTTGATTAAATAGTATGAATTTGAATTTCATAAATAATAAAACATGCCATTAGCAACTATACTTCGAGTCGTAGACCCTCTGGTCAAACTACTTTATCAATTTGGACTGGCACCACAGGTGTATAACTACTATTAAGCAGCAAGGTCTGAAATCATAAAAATCACTTATCGCAAATGAAATCAAAAATGTCACTGGAGTGGTTAGATTAGTTTTAGCATTGCCGAAATCCATAAAGTCACTTAATTAAAGGTATTAAAACCTAATTGTTACTACATTATGTAATTGAATTACTTGTTTTATTAAATCAATAAAATCATTTGCCGCACTAAAGAAAATCAAATCACATCGATCATTTCCAGAATGACCAGCTCCACTTTTATTGCTTTAAAATGGTTATAAGGCATAATCTAAATTGCCAGTGGTTACGATAAGCAAAAGTGTAATTGATTTGCAAATGGTTATTAATTAGGATACGACAAAATTTTGGATATAAACGGGCAAGTAAGTGCCTTTAGTTCAGTCTAGTTCTGGAGGAGATCCCATCTACACGTCAATCACAAAGCAAGAAAATGGAGAGCAACGAACAACTGGTAGGTACATTTCCGCTAGTTTTAAAGCGGTTTCTAAAGTTTATAATTTTTTTAGTTAACCGATGATTCTATAGAGACAGCTAAAGTAAAGTCTTTAGGAAAAAAGACTGGAATCCATAAAACTCCCTGGTATTTTACCGAAGCATCTTTTTTTGTTTGGGTCTTCCTTTTCCTAGGCGTTGTGGTACCTCTTTTTTATCGCCTGCCACCTGCCACTACCCTAGAAGATGAATCCAAGGGTATTTTCATAGCCCAACGCGCTCAGGACAATCTTTATGACTTCGACAAAATCGGCACAAAGCTGGTAGGCAGCGAAGCGAACGAGAACAAAACCGTTCAGTTCTTGCTGAGTGAGCTGGCATTGATTCAGGCAAACGTTCTAGAAGACTTTTTTGATATGGAGATTGACCGACAAATTGTTTCCGGGTCGTATGTCAAGGGCGGTGCGCTCTTTCAATATCAGGGAGTACAGAATATAGTGATTAAGTTAACGCCCAAGAACTGCACAAGTGAGGATTACCTCCTGGTCAACACCCACTTTGATTCCAAGCCCGCGACTCCGTCTGCCGGCGATGCGGGTCACATGGTGGTATGCGTCCTGGAGGTGTTGCGAGTGATCACGACCACCAGGGAACGGTTTGAAAACCCAATTATCTTTCTCCTCAATGGCGCCGAGGAGAATTCTCTTCAGGCATCGCACGGTTTTATCACCCAGCACAAATGGGCTCCCAACTGCAAGTTAGTTATGAAAGATTTTTAAATTTATTCGCCTAATTTTTACCCTTTTATTTTGAAGAGTCCTAATTAATCTGGATGCAGCTGGCAGCGGTAGTCGGGAAATTCTTTTCCAGACAGGTCCGAATAATCCCTGGCTTCTCAATGTAACGAGGTTAATTCATAGTTATATACCCTAACATAAAATGATTAATTACAGTACTACAAGAACCATGCCAAACATCCATTTGCTACCACAATGGCTGAGGAAATTTTTCAGACGGGTCTTATACCATCGGACACAGATTACCGTATCTTCGTCGCTTATGGAAATCTCGTTGGTAAGTTATTTAAGTACCTTCGTTTAACCTGGTACAATATTAGTAAGCTTTATTATCTTTCAAGGTCTGGATCTAGGTCAGTGCGTGAATGGTTATGTGTATCACACAAAGTATGATCGCTTTGATATAATACCCCGAGCTTCGATTCAAAACACAGGAGACAACCTTTTAGGCCTGGTTAAAGGCCCTCGCAAATGCCCCTGAATTGCGTGACACCACAGTGAGTTATACGAAACTGTGATTTCCTTTTCAATAACGAAAATGTATACTTTGAAGGTGGAGGGGAAAACTGTTTTCTTTGATGTCTTGGGACTGTTCTTTGTTAGCTACTCGGAGAGCAATGGTAAAATTTTGAACTATTCGGTCCCCGGAGTTGTTATCATCCTAGTCTACATATCACTGCTGCGCATGGTGGCAAACTCGAATGTGACCTTCAAGAAGATCCTATGTTGGTTCGCCCTGATTCTTATAGTCCAACTTGTTGCCTTTGTAATGGGATTAGCTCTGCCTTTAATAGTTGCATATATGTTTGATAAATATGGACTTACCATGACCTACTTCAGCACTCCTGCTATTTCGCTGGGCCTTTATGTGTGTCCCAGTCTTGTGGGTCTGGCTCTGCCTAGTTTCATCTATCTCAGAATGCAGAATAATGTGAGTACACTATATGAAACTTCCTCTTAAATTTCGGGTTTATAAATTACAATATCCACAGGAAAATCTTACGTATGCGCAGCAACTGCAAATGACTCTTCATGGACATGCCATTATCCTGTCGATTCTCGGTGTAGCTCTCACTTTTTACGGATTGCGTACAACCTATATTATTACGTGGACACTAGTCTTCTATTTGATCCCACTGTTTCTTAACCTATTGACATCCCTACACGATCGCGGTTTTTCTTGGATTGGTATCCTTAAAGTAATCCAAGTGGTTCCATTCCTGTACAACAGTTACTTATTCTACACATTTATTGTGATTCTCACTCCCATGATGGGTCGTTTTGGACAGTAAGTTTTCATTTTTCTATTGAAAGTAATTTCTGATAACTACTTCCTAGGAATACCAATCCCGACTTGATTATTTCCGCCTTGGTGGCTATGGGTACTATACTGTCCCTGGGCTTTTTGGTAAGTTTATTTTCTTCATGCGATCTTTGGTACTTTTTAACTTTCTGTACCATTATTTAGGTATTGCTCGTTAATAAGTCGCACCGATCGGGATTCGTTATTGTATCTTTAATGGCCATAAGCGCCGCTACTATTTACATGGCCAGTTCAACTCATATTGGCTTTCCATATCGTCCTAAGACAAATGTCGAAAGGGTTTACTATTTGGTAGGTGCAACTCAATAAGTTTTTAACTAGCTGGATTAAGTATCTAAAGTAAAGACTACCATAAAACCGACCTTTCTATTTCCTATAGCACGTGCGTCGGATCTTTTACGAATATGGAGGAAGCGTTATTAAGGATGAGTCCGGATATCTGTTTAATTTTCAGGATCGTCGGGGTAGTGCTCCCCTGTTGGAAGCCAATGTGAATTTAACCGGCATGGTGAGCCTGGAATCTGACTGTGCGAAGTACATGCTTTGCGGGATTCCAATTCCCGATGCTCGTTATATGAATAGTCGTCTGAATGGAATGTGGTTGCCTCGAAATACGCCCGTGGAGACGGTTCCAGAGAAGCCCCTTGAGCTCCTCAATAGAACAGTGCTAGATGACGGCAAGACCCTGCTGATCGAGGTCAAGATCTTTTACACTGATCACTCAAGTTTGTTTATCCAGCCGGAAGAGGATGTAACCATAACAAAATGGTCGCTAGAGGAGAGCTACTTGACCTACAGTCCGCCATATTATGTGTACTTCAGCTCCGGTGTGGATAGTTCGCCGGTGATCTTAACTCTTGAGCTTCAGGTATGCGATTGGTTTATCTTGTATTAGTAAAACTATTTAAAATTGATTGATTTTCAGAAACCCGGTAGCAACTTCAATGAGTGCGTCGTCCAAATAGGAGTCTCCAGACAATTTATGAATTCTACAGGCGATTCAATAGCCCAGGACTTTGCCAAAACATTCCCTGATTTTGCGGTGCTGATTGAGTGGCCAGCGGATTACCACCGCTATAAATTGTAATATTTTGTATCTTAAAAAAGCGATTTTCAAATAAAAACAAATCAACTGTAATATTATCCAAATACCACATTTTTAGTGAAATTAACGAGTTTTGAAATCTTTTCACAAATTCTTCAATTAATTTTACTAAAAAATAAATAAAAAAATTTTTTTAATTCTACCGCCAAAATTTTAAGAACTAGTTCATTAGGATGCTCTTACAGGTTCTTTGAACCAATTGCTAAAACAGCTGTTTTGTGTTAATCTTTTGCTTCTGACTAAACCAAACAGCTTGTTGATTCCTGTGGTTAAAGCATCTAAGGACTCACAATGTCCGATCCGTCCCTCAAACCACCCGCCAGCAACACACCAATGAAGCCTCCCCAGGTGGTGGCTCTTGCAGGATCAGGCGGTGGCCTCCAGTTGCCCGTAACCGCTCCTCAGAAGCTGAACTCCAATGGATCATCCGCATCATCATCCGCCTCTGGCTCGGCCACCGGGAATCCCCGCAACAAGTGCGCCCTGAAGCCGGGCTACTCCCTGATGAGCTGGATACGGCTGTGCAATTCTGGAGCGGATCTGTCGGGAACCGGCGGACGTGTGGTGCCCGTTTCCCGGCTAGAATTGGCCCGGCACAACAAGGTGGACGACGCTTGGATGGCGATTCGAGGTCGTGTGTTCAATGTCACCCGCTACATGGACTTCCATCCGGGCGGAGTGGATGAACTGATGCGGGGAGTTGGTCGCGATGCAACCAAACTTTTCGACGAGGTTCACGCCTGGGTAAACTATCCCCAATTGCTGGGTAAATGCTACGTGGGACCGCTGAAGGAGAATGAGACAAAGGAACCCAAGGATAGTCCTCAGATAACCAGCGTAGCTTTGAAGCCGCCAGAGATTGTGCCCCGTTTTGATTGGATTCAGCAGAGGAGCGAACTTACCCTAATCTTCTACACCCGCGGCTTTGCTAATCCTGGACTGCTAATTTTACATAAAGATGCCCTGCAGCTAACTGTACGGATTCTAGTCCAACACAACTGGCACACCTTTGACTTTCAGCTAACCAACAAGGTGCAATGGCCGCCAAAGGTAGCGAAAATCGGTGCGGAGACGGGGAAGATTGAGTTGGTCTTGGCCAAGGAAGAGGCGGAACCTTGGCCAACATACGGGACTCATGTGTCCAGCCAGTTGGACTCGGCTAGCATACAGGAAGAAAACTACGAGTACGAAGTAACGAGCTCCAAGGATTTCAATCACGATTCCTTCGACTTCCGCCTGCAAAGCGTTCAGCGGGAAGTGCTGATGCTTCTGCCAGTGGGTTACCATGTGGATATAGAAGTACCACAGGAAGGCGGAGCCATTCAGCGAAGCTACACACCTGTGGATCAGTGCTACCTGCATTTGGATAATAACTCCTCTTCTGATTTAGAAGGCCTAAACTTTCTGATCAAAAGGTATCCCAACGGACCCGTCTCAAGTCATCTGCATCAGCTCCAAGCTGGTTCCCGCCTCCATTTGAGTCCGCCACGTGGAACTTTCCAGCTCTCTGAGCTCACTGCACACAGAAACATTCTACTCCTGGCAGCAGGAAGCGGACTAACGCCCATTTTGAGTCTAATTCAACCAGTGCTAAAGAGGAATACAAATCGAATGTAAGCTCGAATGCTATTAAACCAAACACTATTAGTATAATTTTTTAATCCCCCAGTGAAAGCTTGCAACTGATGTACTTTAACAAAACCCAAGAAGACATCTGGTTAAAGGAGAAACTAGAGGAATTACACGCCCAGGACGAGAGATTCAGCTGCACAAACTATCTTTCCCAAGCGGAAAGTAGTCCTCAAAGGATATCGCTGGAGCTATTGACTCCCTTCTTCCAGAAAAAGCAACCGGACAGATGTACTTATGTCGCCATATGTGGACCAAGTGGTTTCAACACCGCTGCTGTAGATATTTTGAAACAGCTCGATGCTGAGCCCATGCAAATTCACGTCTTTCGCGGCTAAATGAATAGGTGATTTCATTGCGCACTTAATCTTCATCACTTTTATTTACTGTATAGCAAATGGTTTCGACTTTTGTTCTTTTTTATTGTTTTTACATGTTTTCGTTTTAATAATTTAATAAGTGTGTAACAAATACTAGAAAGTTGTAGTTGGATTTGTTTTCATTTGCTTTTAAACAGGCTCCGTCGTCAAAATCGCCTCAAACCTACATAACTCGTTGTCAGCTCGCACTCACTTTTCGCTTATGTAAAATTGTAAATAACCGACAACCAAACAGTAACCAAATGGAGGGCGGCGCACAAAAATAAATAGAAACAGCAGGATTTGATATATAAAGAATATATAGGATGTAAAGAAAAGCTGGTTTTACATTTCATCGCCATACCGGATGGTATCACTTTCCAGCACATTGGCGACCTGACCAAATGACGTTTAAGTAGACATCCGTACGTGTGATTGTGTGATGGTATGGTGTATGTATGCGGGTGTCCTGCAACTCCAAATCTAGACTTAATAGGAGCGGATAGCCGGTGGCACAGTGGAGACTTCGCCGTCCAGCGTGGAATCGATCACGTTTCTGTAGTCCAGCGTTATGTCTCCGTTGTCATTGCAGACCCACGAGAGCGTGTGCTTGCGCCAATGCTCCTCCATGGGCTTCTTCTGTTGACCCTCGAGGGGTTTGCTGAAATCCTGCAGGGGAAAACGTTCATTAATAAGCAGTTTGGCAGTTGACAGCGTCGCTAACTTACATATTCATCCTCGCGGACCTTGAAGTCCTCGCGGGCATGGGCACCGCGGGATTCTTTGCGCGCCTCAGCTCCCACAATGGTCATCTGGGCATTGGCCAGCAGGTTCTGCAGCTCCAGGGTCTCAACCAGATCGGAGTTCCAGATGAGCGACCTTTAAGAGCGTACAAAATGGTTATTATAATTGTTAAAAGAAGATATTTATTAAAGCCTTGCGTGAATCATTCAATTTTTGTTTTATCATAGTATGCCATGAAATTTCTGATTTGTTTAAATCAATTCTATGTGAAATAAATTAAATGTTTTTCTAATTCATTTGGAATTATATAAATGAATGTTTTTCTAATTCAGGAAAATGATTATAATTTTTTTTTATGAATTTTTTTGAATTTGCCAGATTTTTTTGTGCTTCTTTTTGAGAACAAAAAGGGGAAAACTTTTAACAAATCAATGTTAAGTGGCTTAGAAAATAAAATTCATGCAGATTTAATCACAAAATTATGGCCTTTTCTTCTTAAAAAGAAATGGTCATTTAAATTATTTGGTATTGAGCCATTCGTAAATCATTAAATTAAATATTCAATTCTATAAAACAAATTCACTCAACTGGATTAAATTCACATTCCTACAATTCTATTAAACTAAAAATTCTAATAAATTCATTCATATAAAACAAAAAATTAAAAATAATTCATTGAATCCATTCATACAGGGCTCTAATATTTACTACCCACCTGTCCACGACCTTGACGTCCTTGAATTGCTTGTAGATCTCCTTCATCTTGTTCACGCCATCCTGCAGGATGGGGCCATCACGGAACACGGCAGCATGGTGCTGCATGGTCTTTTGCATCTTCAGGCGCAGATCGGCGGTGGTGATCTGTCCGTTGGCGTGGCGCAGCTTGTCGAGATTAGCCACCGAAGCCTCGCCGGCGTTTTCCTTTAGGGTGGGTGCCGGGGCACCTGGCTTGTTCAGCTCGGCGATGGTCTTGGCGCAGGCACGTCCAAAGACCACCAGATCCAGCAAGGAGTTGGCACCCAGACGGTTGGCACCGTGCACCGAGCTGGAAGCAGCCTCACCGGCGGCATACAGACCCGGCACAATCACATCCTTGCCGTCCTTGTCGATGGTGATCACCTGGCCGCGATAGTTGGTCGGCACACCGCCCATGTTGTAGTGCACCGTGGGCAGCACGGGGATGGGCTCGCGGGTCACGTCCACGCCGGCGAAGATCATGGCCGTTTCGGAGATGCCGGGCAGACGTTCGGCCAGCTGCTTGGGCGGCAGATGGTGCAGCTGCAGGTAGACGTGATCCTTGTCAGGTCCAGCGCCACGGCCCTCCATGATCTCGATGGTCATCGAGCGCGAGACGACGTCGCGGGAGGCCAGATCCTTGGCCACCGGAGCGTAGCGCTCCATGAAGCGCTCGCCATTGCCGTTGATCAGATAGCCACCCTCACCGCGGCATCCCTCGGTGATCAGGCAGCCGGCGCCGTAGATTCCGGTGGGGTGGAACTGCACGAACTCCAGATCCTGGGAGGGCAGACCCTGGCGGGCCACCATGGCGGTGCCGTCACCGGTGCACGTGTGCGCCGAGGTGCAGGAGAAGAAGGCGCGTCCATAGCCGCCGGTGGCGATGACCGTGTTCTGGGCGCGGAAGCGGTGCAGAGTACCATCCTCCAAGTTCAGGGCCAGCACGCCGCGGCACTCGCCCTCCTCGAAGATCAGATCCAGGGCGAAGTACTCCACAAAGTAGTTGCAGTCGTAGCTCAGGGACTGGCCATAGAGCGTGTGCAGCAGCGAGTGACCAGTACGATCCGCCACGGCACAGCAGCGATGGGCCTGACCGCCCTTGCCGAACTTCAGACTCTGCCCGCCGAAGGCCCGCTGGTAGATCTTTCCGTCCTGGGTGCGCGAGAAGGGCATGCCGTAGTTCTCCAGCTCGATCACCGCCTTGGGCGCCTCGCGCGTCATGTAGTGGATGGCGTCCTGGTCGCCCAGCCAATCGGAGCCCTTGACCGTGTCGTACATGTGCCACTTCCAGTCGTCCTCCTCCATGTTGCCCAGCGCCGCATTGATACCGCCCTGGGCGGCGATCGTGTGCGAGCGGGTGGGGAACAACTTGGTGATCACCGCCGTGCGGAATCCCTCGGCCACCAGGCCGAAGGCCGCCCGCAAGCCGGCTCCTCCTGCTCCCACGACGATCGCATCGTAGGCGTGGTCCACCACCGGGTACTGCTTGGAAATCTTGTCCGGATTCGCCGCCGACGACTGCTGGCGGCCGTGTGTGATGTGGTAGCTGCGCTGCACACCGATGGCGGCGGCACGTTGCTGTAAAATAAGAGTAGGGGCAAATGAGAGATCGGAAAGTAATTTTTGGTTTTCAGATTATACCATTTTATAATTATCATTTGAATTTGTTTATTAATAAAAACAAATTGTACTGTGACAGAACGTTTTATTCGATAGTAAAAAAAAAACAAATCGAATTTTGGGGCACTTTGGGGTCGTTTTTTGTTCTACAAAGTACCCCTTAAGCGGCTCCTAATTATTTTAGTAATTACTGTAATTTTTTTTAGATTTTTATGTCTATCCGTTCTGGGTGGAATTTGCTACTGACCGTTTTTTAGGGTTCTAATTATATACTAGTTTAGGTGTGATTACTTTAAAAACCCGTCATTGCAGTTTTTAAGATACAAACATTATGCGGCTTGTCTATAAACGTTAGAGTATAAAGTCATCAAATTCAATGTTTGTATTAGTAATTCACATTTATTTGTGAAAAAATTACGTAAACTTTAAAGATTACTGTCTTAAGATGCCGTTCCCAAACACCCTTAAGGAAAATGAGTGGTCATTGTATAAGAAAATGTACATAATATAAATAAAATTTTAAGGGATTGTCCAAAGTCAGTCATTAACCTTTTATCGGTTATATCACAAAAATAATATTATTTTTATGAAATATGGGCTTTTGTTTTGGTTTCATTTTAATAAAAAATCTATAGCAAAGGCCCACATTTATGGGTTGATTAAATAAAACGTTTCCATGAATACCCCATTGTTATCTTATCAGAAGATTCCAAAAAATTAGGACCGGAAAGTGCACCAAAAGTAATTGCAACTAGCATTCCGACAATTAGGTTTAGCAAATGGAAAACAAGATGAACAAAGTGAGATATAGGGGACTAAGATATAGGGAGAGTATGATAACCATTCTATGGAGATGTTCTGATGACGTCTACAACTGTGGGGAGATAGAACAGGCGGAAAGAGAGACTTGCAGTGATAACTCCTTATGTAATAAACAAATTAAATAATTGTACTGGGCTTTTTTTTCGAGTGGTTTCAAATGGGAGGAAAGGGGTCGGGGGATCAGCACCGTGATCAGCTCAATTGTATAATCAGCTGTTAGTTTTGTTAGCTGGCCGACGTGCCTCCCTATCTCTCTCTTTCTGTCTTACTATATTATCCTCTCTTTTATGCCGATTCCCCCGATTGAGCGGTACTTATAAAGCTTTTCGAGGCGTGTCATTAATCCAAAACCTAATGTTTTCAAGTGCATTTGTTGCACGAATAGCGAAATGCACGGCATCTGTAATACGGGAGAGACATGGTAAAGGGGGCGGGGCGGCAGCATAACATAACCTCGCTGGTGCACACCTTACATTCCCCTTTAAAATCGCAAAAATCGTCTAACACAACAAGTTGTCTTCATATTCGCCCCTTGGCCAGTATTATAAATTAGCAGAAGGGCCAATACTAACACCTGGCCCATTGAAATCCGACGAAATTACATAACACAGCGACGGGGCGGCGCGTTTTTGGCCAATTTCTTGGTCTTTTTCTGTTGTCACATCACGAGTCTTTGGGTTCCTCACAGAACCGGTTGTATAACCACTATTACAAGGGATGCCCAAGGATGTGGAATCCCAGTTTTTTCAACCCGGTTGAAGAACTTACCACGGAGGCAACTGCATTTTTGGCCAAAATCGATGGCACACGCATGATTCCGGACATGGTTGGCTGGGCTGCGGGGTTCTGCTACTGCTGCTGCAAGAGATTGGACCGAGAACTATGGTTACGCGCTTATAGCTGTTTGGTGTTCTTAAAAAACAAATAACTACGTGTATCGATGTGTCTATGTGATCGAAAGGAAAAGTTTACAAACTTTCAAATGTTGTGTGTGAACTGCCGCTCGTCGGCACTGCAGTTCGGTTCACTGATTCGCTCCAAGTGAAGAGAACCGGAACTAGATCACGCAGGTCCCAAATCAAAATCCGAAAATTCCCAGACCAAAAATAAATGTCTATATACTTGCATATTTTTGGAATGGAATTTTACCACCCCAGTAATACGTATTTATTTGCATATTTTGTATAAAAAATAAAACCCAGTTCATTGAACTACAACGCAATGAACTGTTTTTGCCCTGCCAAAGAGACCAGAACACAAAAGAGCCGAAATCTTCGATTAGTACACAAAACAGCTGATTTATTGTTTATTTTGGGGGTGGGTGAACCAAAAACATTCAAAAATACAAATGCATATTATTATAAATACAGAGAGATTGCTGTCTTTAAAAAATCACTATTTAAAATGAGATTAAGCTGAGATTCTGGCATTCAATTTGGCGGCTTTTTGCCACAGCGCTGGGCGAATTCTTCGGGAGTAAGGTCAGCCAAGTGGTTGATTCCCATTTTCCAAGTCACTTCGCCCTTCTCAAATTTCTGGTTGTGTTCATCAATCCGGGCCTTGGACTTTGCATACAGTTCGCGACGCATCTGATCCTCCTCCGCTTCGTAGCTCTTGTCGAATTTGGACTGAGGATTACATGTATTTCAGGGATATTGCGTCGTAGTCTACTGATATAGGGACCCTTACCTTGTACTCCACCCACTCTTCATCGGAAACCAAAGCCATCTTGACACTTGTAATTTTGGCGACAGACTAAATTTTGTTTCAATTCTGAGGTTTTATCACAGTTTCGCACTGAGTCACAACATATAAACACAACAAAGAAACGATAATACAGCTGATCAGAGTTGCCACATCGCTGAAAAACATTCGTAAACAACAGTAGGGCCCCGCATTAACGAAAGTCTTTTAAGAAGGTTTTGAAACCATTTCTAATAAAGGTTTTTTGATACCGAATATTTTGTTTTAAAAGAATTGAAAATTTGCTGGTTGGACCTGTTTTAAATACGGATTATAAGTTGTAGTTATAGTTATTTTTTATATACAAAATTGGCCGTTAAAAAACCCAATTAAAATAATAACACTTCGAAATACTTTTGAATTTTGTACAATTTTCAAGTTTTTATTTATATACGTTTGCTCCTTCGTGTGTGTCGTGTTACTTTGTTTGTATAATACGAATTTAAATATATATATTTATGCAATTTCTTACACTCTAAACGAATTTTAAGAAATAACTTTCCGGTATTTCGTTTGATTTCTTCAAAAGTACTTTTTATTTGCACAGAGTGAGAATATTGACAAATTTCTAAGGTTAATCTAAGGACAAAATTATACAGACTTTTTCGCTTCTGACGCAAAAAAGTTGCTAGAAATAAGCTTCTGTCGTTGCGCAAATAATCAGTTAATTATATTTTTATAATTATCGTGTGTGTTTAATTTGCTGTTTTTTGTCTAAGGCTCAGCAATGCATGTATTATGTTGTATATAGAGTGGATTTGTGTGTGAATGGGTGGGTTTTGAGTGGGAAAAGCAGAAACATTCGATTTATCTGGCTTTAAGGATCGGGGTTGAAAGTTTAATGCAGTTAATTTGAAATTTAAATGCGATTAAGTTGTGCCTTAAGGTTTTACATGCTATGGCAGTCGTATATAGTTAGTTGCAGTACTCATTATCGATATTTTCAAATATATTTTGGGTGAGTGATTTAAACTCAAGCACATCTACTTACAAAAGAAATGCTGAAATTTGAATCTTGGAGATATTTTACGGGAAATTCCCCTTTCTTCTCTGTAATTGTGTTTCTGCTTTCCTCAGATTAATCGCATGATTTAATGCGTGTGTATTTTTGGATTTTCGGTTTCTTCATAATTTATTGGTTTTTATAAATATATATATGTATATGTATGTATAAACAGTTTTACGTACATAAAAATATATAATTATTTATATAAAAAACTAATACAATTGCTGCATGTATACATATTTATTCATTCGTTTGTGTGCAAAGTGTGGCTGCCCGGAATTAAAATTAAAACAAAAGAACACAAAACATAAAAAGCGATTTGACAAAACACACACATGCCAAGAATATCAAATTGTGGTTGTTGTCATCGATTTTATTGCATTTATAAAAAATATTGCATTTAAGTATTATGTGTACATAAGCATGTACCACGCTTGTATGTATCAAGTATCAAAAGGCAAAAGTTGCCTTTGTTTTAAACAAATCTTTGCTTGTTTCAGAGCTACCTGGGAGTTTCGACCCTTTTCTTCTGTTCATTTGTTTTACTATGTAATGTGTTTACGTAGTTTTTGTTTAAAGACTAATACATCTAGAAGATTTTTGCAAGTTACTTGTATAGAACAAAGTGGCGTGCCGGATATTGCGTTTAAATCTGCGAATCTCCCTTTCGTTATCATACAAATTGTGTTGGATTGCGTTGCTGTTTGGGTGCCGTGGACATCGTATAAATTAAAAATTAGAATTATATTATAATAGATATAAGCTGTGAATGCGAATTGGGGGAGGGGATGCCTTCGGGGTATCCTCTTAGATGCATCTTTATCGATTTTAGCTGCTCATTTGTTGCTTAGTTAGGCCTCTCTCTCTTATATAATGCTTCTTTTGCTGATCTGGCTACAGTTTCCATTTTGTTTTCGTGGTTTCATTGTCGTTAGTTTCCTCGGTTCCCACTGATGGTGGGAGGGTGTCAAGATTGCTACTCCTACTGATCCCGCCTCTCAGCTTAGGCCTCGGCCTTCTTCTTCTCCTTCTTCTTTTTCAAAAACGACGGTGTGCGCAGGCCCTTCTTCTTCTTCTTGTCTTTCTTGGGGGATCCGTCCGTGGAGACATCCTGGAACCGTAATAGAAATTTGCAGTGAGAATATCGGTTGCGCTTCGGTTAGTAAATCAAATGAGGTTAGCATAACGCATGATGATCTGAAGGTGGCTTTAAACGATTTAACGTTTGGAGTCAACCTACTGATTGTGAGTTCGAGATGTGATCGCTGATCCTGAATCTGATCAGATGTACTTACCTCTTTACTGCTCTGGGAGAAGGTGCTCAAGTGTGCCTCCGAATGATCGCCATTTTGTACGTTTTCACCTATTATAAAAAGGTAAAAAGATTATTTAGTAAGTGATACATCTGCGAAAGAGTTATTGGGTTTCCTACAAATGTAACTCAGTGGACGCACACATAATATTCGATATTAATTTCGTAAATACTTTCACCTTATGGACACGCACAAATAAGAATCTAACTAAAACATGAAATGTATTAAATGTTTTGGGTGGTGACGGTGTATTAAGTACATACATGGAGTTCGGGGTTGGGAAATCAAACACAAGGACATGCAGCAGTATTAGCAACTAATATTAGTAAGCAAGCAGACATGCACAAAACAAAACACAAACATAGTTAAAAAATGAAATCATGTTACCTGGACACTAAGTAAACTTATCTATCTTTTAATGATGTGCGTGTGTATGAAATCTTAACTTATGGATTGCAGTTTTTTAATGAAAACGTGTTTTATTAAATTTAAATTATAAAAATATTAAACAAAAAATCAAGATTCGACAAAAATTAAACTTAACAATTTCACAGAGTATTTAAATGTACAATGGTTGGTTTAGATTGTTTTTTAAACAGTTATCTTTTGCATTTCCATAATTTGCTTTTGTTACTTTCTTAACATTTTAATTAAGAGAAAAAGCACGTAAAAATGCAGTAGTTAGATTCACAAATTCCATCATTAAACCTAACCGCTATTTTACAATCTTTTCACTGTTGTCAAATTATAAACAAACATTTTAACAAAAGTGAAGATGTAGTTATTTATAAAAATCTGAATATGGAATTAAGAGGTGGCCAGACCCTCGGCCAACTGCGAGATGCGAGCCCGGCACTCGTGAATAATTGCCTGGTTGTGAAGCATGTGCGCTCTCACTACGCTATTCAGCAGACGCTCGAGTTCCCTTTGCAGACTGCTTAAGATGTCATTTAGAGGCTCACCCTCCGCCGGCAATTGTGGCGAGGCTTCACCTGGCTTGGCCATTCCCACGGCCACATAGCTATAGGTGTGGCACAGCTCCGGCGCCGAGTTACTGCGCTGAACCGAGGACGATGCTGAGGGCGGTGGCGGCGGCGGAGGCATAGTCGTGGAAGAGGGAGTGGCCAGGGGAGCCCGCTGCTGGAGCAACTCCGCCTGACGGTGCTTGTATGCGAGCTGCTGCGATATATAGTTGATCTCCTCGTCGATCACCCTTTCCAGCTTGGCCCGGAACTCCTGCTCGTGCGTGTGAACCGTTTGGACGCACTCGGCATTACGCAGCGACACGTTGATCAGGATCTCGATGACCGCCGGCGATTGCGTGGTCGTCGTGGGTGTTGGTGTGCTGCTCAACGTTAGCTTAACGTGTTTGCCCTGGGAATAGGCCTCGGCCTCCTGGGTGGACGAATCATTGCTGGTGGTGGCCAGCCGTGGGCGTCTGCCGGACGAATCCACCAGGCCACTGTCTTCCTCCTGATCGGCCTCAGGTCGCTCCCGATCCGCCTGCTCCCTATTATTGGCATCAGTGCCCTCGGGAAGACCATGATTTATGGGTAGAAAGGTGTAGCTGCGGTAGAGACCGCTATCATGTTCCCGCCTGTGAGGCGTACCGATGGCCAGGCCGCTCATCATGGAGTCCAGCTCATCTAGACTGTCATCCAAGACACTGCTGGTGGTGCCGCTGCTGTAGACCCTCTGCTTCCGCTTCGGAGGCGAGACTTCCAACTGAATGTGCTTCTCAGAGACAAAGGATTGCGATGGGAATTGGTTCGACTGAGTGGCTGTCATCACATTCAGCAGCTTGCGGTTATCCAAGCTCAATGTCGTCAGATCGATGAAGGAGACCACCTTCTCGCGCTGCTCGGCCACCGTCTGCCAAATGGATCGGTGTTCCGGATGCAGCAGAATCGTTGGCGACGTAATCAGTGGACAATTAAAGCCAAAATGGGAGATGGTGCGGTAGGGAGGTGTTGACAATTCGGCGACAGACTGATTCCTCTCATCCGGCAACGAAACTGATGCCATCCCATTTCGAATGGGGGTGCTACTGAGAATGCCTGGCGGGTTGCCTTCAAATCCAGTTACACTTCCGTTTTGCTGAATGCTCATATTGCCATCGTGGACTGGTGGATAGTTGTGCCTGCTGTCGGGGATGATCTTGTGTATGACATAGACCATCTGCTCAACTGGTCCCATTTTTAGGCCGTATTGCCCAGGTGAATATAGAAACGCATACTTTTGGGCCAAGTGAAATTTAAGTGCTAGAAACAAAAGTGCGGGAGTTGTGCGTAGTGAAAAATATGATTAAGTGGGATTGTGATACCTGCTGAAGCATCCAAGAACGTTCACGACCGACGGGATTTACACACTTGACATAACACAAAACATTGGGGGACATGTGCTTACAATTCTATAACATCGGGAGGGGATATTTACTGCTAACACTTAATCTAATTTATTTCTTTAGGTAGTATTATAGAAAGTTTACAAAGTTTCGTTTTTTTTAAATCTAATAATGTAAACACAAAAATTATACATTTCCACTGAAATAAAAGTCCTTTAACCGTAAAAAGTTAGTAAGGAATAACAAACTGCTATATATTTTAAGTAGGTAGTTTTGTGTTAACTTAAAAGAATATACATCCAATATTTCAACTTTTATTTTTCCATCCACATTACATTACAAATCATAAGATGAAAATAAATAGACGATTATAGTGTTACTGTTGAAAAACAAAATCTCAAATCAAAATTCATTACAAGCAGTGTTAAAATAATAAAGGAGTATAAAAAATGTAAAAGTAAGTTTACAAAGCAGCGGTTTCTAATCTTCTGTTTTTTTAACATTTCTCTAAATGTTAATCTATTTCTTCTTCCACCGTTTCTGGAACATGGACCTCTTCATCTTCTTCTACCAACCCATCCTCAAATAGTCCCCCAAACTCTATGAATTCCTCTGAATTCTCCTGCCTCATGGGCACCACCTCCTGCACAAACATCTCCAGACCATGCACAATGCAAACTGTATCCAGGGTGACCGCATCCTCATCTTCAGTGGAGGCACATTTTCTGGTTTCCACTGCCGGTTTTGAGGTCGTGGGTTCCTCATCATTATATGTCATATCCTTATCGTCATTGGCCTTTACCACGCTAATGAGTTGTTCATTGAATTCCTCTTCTTCGAAATGGTCTTTTGGTATTACATCTTTTTGTGTATGCAGGGCTTCTGCTCCACCTGTAAGTCGTGCGGGCTTTTCCGGATCTTGGCTAGACATTTCAATAGGGGATAATTGTTCATTTATCACCATTCTATTGAAATTATAAGTTTCCGGATCGGTTGTATCCTGAGTGTGGCTTATGACATGATTATTCGCATTTTCTGGATCCATTTCGACTTTATACAACGACGAAGAACTATCATTATTAGGGATATGAGAGCTCTCTGCCAAGTAAGTTCTTTCAATAAATTCCTGACTGTACTTGGGTTTAAATTGCATATCTCCTGAAATCTCCTCTATTGCTTCCGCGCTTGATGGCGAAGATTCCCCCTCCTCTTGCGTTTTATCGTTGGCGCTGTAGTACATGGAGCTGTTGGTGGCATTCGCTTTATCGTGCGCTGCCTCGTGCAATTCCTCCTGACTCTCGTCGTTATCCACCTGCTTATCTTCCTGGCTTCCTTCCATCTGAAAGGTGCTCGTTGAAATGTTATCCGAATTGCCATGTTCTTCGTCGGCCACAAAGAATGTGCTACTGGAAAGAGTTCGATACAGCGATGCTGTAGACGAATTCAAGTCGGTATTCTGATTTCGACTGTGCCCATGAAGTGGACGACGCAGAGGTGGCAAGATGACCGGCGGCTTGCGACGTTTGGCGAACGGCGAGGAGAGGCTACCGCGAACAGTGTACAAAGTTCGCGCAGGATTCGTGGTTTTGTCTCGTGGAGGCGTTGGCAGGGAAACCCAAAGACGGGCTCCACTATCGCGCTGTCCGCACTGAAAAGCACACACCGAAGATGGACTCGATATGGCTCTTGGAGTGGTGACCTTGTTGCTTCTGTGCTTCTTAACCGAACCGGCTGCGCTTCGCGGTCTGCTGGCATTGCGAATGTTCTCCTGAATAAAGTTGCGCTTTCTGCGCGGACTGCTTCGGCACACAAATGTTGTGGACGAGATGATTTGCCCAAGGGTTGACTCCTCGTCAGTCCTCTTCCTGCTCGCTCTTCTCTCGATCCACCTCCTGCCGCCCTTGCTGATCCTCCGACCAGGATCGTGACATACGAGGTGTTGGTCGGGTAACAAGGTGAGCGTGCGCCATCGAGCTGCAGGGAGCACTTATATTATGAGCGGACAGGGAAGAGCCACTCGGAGTTAAAGTGGTATCAGCTGGTGGAGCACCATTCAAAAGCGGAGTGCTAGGCTTGGGGTAAACATGCGTGCAAGTGCGAAAGATCTCCTCGCTGACCAAGTCCTGCAGCTTCCTGGGCGTCATCTTGTTGCGAATACTATGGTCAATTTTCCCGAAAATGGGCTCACTCTCGTCGAGTCTTTCATCCTCGATGCGCTGAAGGATCTCGCGCTCAAGAGGCGTGAAAAACTGGTTGTCGGTCTCCAAGGAAGGGACATCTGTTACATTAGATACTCCATTAGTATCCTGAAGCACAGTCTCCACCTCAAGGTCATTTTCGTCAATATCTTTTTCGTCGTCACGACCTTTCTCTTTATCGCTAGGCTCCGTGGGCTCCTCTGGCTCTGTTAAAGCTGGAGACACCGGTTTCTCGTCATCACCCTTTTCTTCCTGTTCCAAACTGTTGTGTAACCCGCAATCCTCTTCGGTGCCATTATTGATACTCGAGTCTGTGGCCAAAACGGAATCAGGTTCCTGCAAAGACACAGTGTCATCGGCTTCGGGAATATTGTCCAAACTAATCGAACGAAATAGGGAACCACTATCGACGACGGTTTCTTGTTCCTCTGGCGAGCTACTGGATGTAACGCCTGATGTATCAGTGTCGAGTACCTGTAGTTTCTTGGTGGTCGCCACCAACTTTTCCAGGTTTTCACCGGCTACTGTAAGACTTTCCTCAAACTTTTGCAGGATTTTCGGTAGCTCATCGCTTGGCTCAGTCATTGTTTCTTCTTGGGGATTATCAGAATGTTCACTATTAGCTTTGCCTTGCTCCAGCTGTGGATCAAGACCCCCTTCTGACCTGGCTTCATGGTCATCTGGAGTCATACTTATACGATTCTCCTGCTCGTGCTGCATCTGCTCCTTGGCCCCAAAATATTCGACATGATCTTGCCACAACTCCTGGAACTCAGACTTCCGACGCTGGCGCTCTTCGCGTGTCATTAACTGGCGATCAACATGATCATCGCCGTTCGGAATATTCTGCTTTATCTCCAAAGTGATGCGATGTTCGGTCAGCGGCTGTTGACCGCCCGTCATCATTTCCTGGGGTTCCAACCAACGTCCAAAGCTCCAGACTTCGGTAATATCGCCCTGCTCCACATGGTAAACCCTTTGCGGAGCTGCACTCGTCGCACTCGCTCCAGCACTTGATGTTGCCTGCTCTACAACCAATCCCATTAGGCTACTATCGCCATTGATTAGTCCTGGAGAATAACTAACATTCGTCGACTCTTCCGAGAAGTTGAACCGTTCGATCTGACTGAGGAAATTCATAGTGGAAGAGGAGGCGGAACAGGCTTGAGTCTGTGTCTGTGCATTCCGTTGGATCCTCGGGCGTTCGGGCAGCATTAGCATTTCCTGCACGGGAGTGCTCCCGGCACTGGTCAGCTCATCCGCACAGCTACTAGCAGCCGTTCCGCCTCCAATCCTCTGCAGCTCGGGCTTGAGACGCAGCAGCTTGTCGAAACACGCCTGGCACAACTGTTCGTAGCGCGGAGTGGCGAAGATCTCCTCGTAGCTGATGCCTCGCTGCATGGGCCGGTATCCCATGGCCTGCTGCTCCCGCTCCTTGGGCATATGCTTGTGCTCGGTGCGTGGCTGGTGGCGTGGTGAGTTGAATCCAAAGTGGGAACCTGTGCGATAGGGCAGTGGATAAATCATATTCGCCTGTTGCAATGGTCGACGGGAGGCGGTGGAAGAACACGTGGCGCTGGTTATAGTGCATGTACTGGAGGTGGTGGCATTGGAGGCCCCAGCTCCCCCACGATAAGAACTGGCCAGGGAGCCCAATTGCTCACAATGGAGGGCCCGAAGCAATGCGGAGCACACCTGCGGTTGGACACACTGACCCAAAGAGACTGCAGTGGCGTAGGCATAGGAATATAGCTGATCCGGCAGGGAAATAGGATCCTCGCCCTTCGATGGAAACAGGTCCCGACGGCATCTGCTATTTGCGGACAGGTTCCTGTCACGCCCCTTCAGCTGGTACTCCTTGTCCTCTTTATCTATCTGAGAATCGTGATTGTTATTATCTCCTAGTCAAAGCGAAGATATTCAAGGCGAAGGAGATGAAAGAGCCAAAAATGTCAGTAAGTATTTGTCACAATCTATAGAAAAGTCCGGAGCCAGCATCTTGGGCAGTGCGGCACTCGAAATACATACATACATAAGGGCAATACGTAATGGATTTCATATCCATAAATCTGAAACGCAATATATCCTATCCTGTTATAAAGCTTGTAGAAATCAGTAGCCTAGAAAAGATCACTTTAAATATGGTTCCACTGAAGATTCTATATTATTCTGTTAGTAAATTAACACTATATCCTTTTCTTTGAGACGAATGTAATGAAATTTGAATTTATGAACCTCGGTGATTACTATCAATCTCAAATTATAACTAGGGTTTAGTTTTGGTGCAACAGAAATGACCATGAGCTTGTGGATTATAAAGGGGGTTATATTTAAATATACACCAAAAAGAATATTCAGCCAAAGGCCAATGGATTATATGGGGAGTTATGATATAAGTATACATCGAATATAACGAGTATTATTTCAGGAATTATATACATTGGGCGTTTAGCCTGAGTACATTGAAGGGCGTAACAACTAAGGGGTATCTTTTATTCGGGTCTTGTTCGTTACCTCGGCCAGTTGGCGGCTTGCGATTTGTGGCTGTGTGAGAGCGTTCGCCGTTTATAAAACTAAGAGTGGCTAAAATAGTATTGAGAAAGGAAATTATAAAATCATATTCAGCGACAGATGTTCGCAAGTAAAACGCTAATCAAGTGTGAAACAGACGTAATTAGGTGCCTTAAACTAGGAATACGTAGTGTTGAGTTTGCTTTGCAGTTTAGTATTGATTAAGCATGCTTGAAAAGTAAAGACAGGGATTAGTTTTTGGGCTAATGACGCTGGCTAGGCAACTAAAGAAGCAATCAACAGAAAACAGCTGCAGTTAAAAATAAAACAGGAAACTATAGTTATCACGGAGTAATCCCAACGAAAATGAACAGCAAGCTGCGATTTAACAGCGCATGATTTTCAGCTAAGAGCATTCGGCAAACGTTGACATGGCATGTTGAATGGGGTTTAGTGTGCAGGTGTGGTTTATGTTTATGTTATGCTGAACATTTTTTCTATAAACTATTTTCTTGATTTATTTGTTTGAAGTATTTTTTTTATCTACACACTAAACCTTTGGGGCTGCACTCACCTCCAACTCAAAAGGGTTTGTTTTTTAAACTGCTTATTATTTATTTGGTTTATTTTTGTTATAGAGCGCAGCAGCCGCAGAAGTAGTAGTAGAAAAGGTAGTATGTAGTAGTAGTGGTAGTAGTAGTAGAATTTTGTGTTCTGTTGAGAGCTTCGGTTGCTTCTTGTTGTTGGTTGCTGGTCTTTTGGTTTATTATACATTTTTGTTTTATTTTATTGTGAGCCTACACACACTTTTCTTTTAAATCAATGCTAACTAGTAACCTGCCAATTTATTTGGTTTTGGACTTTCTTCCTATGTGAAATAATATAAGGGTAAATTTTGATTTACAATTGGCCGAATTAGAAAAATTAGGATATAATTTTGTAAAACCAAGGAATAACTACAACTGCAGCTTTTCTACTATAATAAATGTTTTTTGTTGTATCTGTTTTGGTAGTTGTGCTGTCGGATTGCTGGTTGTTGAAATTAAAAATCATTTTATGCACGCCGTACAACAGTTGGTTCCTTGGAAGTATTGGATAAGGGTGAATTGCATTGCACAACAATTATAAACAAATAAAAATGAATATCAAGGAAAAAATTGTGGTATGATAGTAACAAGGGAATGTTTAACAAAAAGAAACGTTAAGTATTCGAACTAAATTATTGATCTTCAGGAATTTTTTGCAGTTTTTACAAAAAAGATGTTGTAAGGGTATCGATTGCTACAAGTATTTTTTTGTTGACTAAATTAATTAATTAAATTGATGTGTGTAGTTTTCGACGTGTGTGTGTTTTTGTAAATTTAGTATGCGAAAATACAGCAAATAATATAAACGAAAAAGAAGGGAAAATGGCATAAAAGAATGTTATTAAATGTTAGGAATCCAATTAAGTAATAATACCAAATAATCATCTAGGGATATAATACTAAAAGGGAATTAAACTAAATATAAAACTACTAAAAATACGTAATAAATATAATAGCATCTTCAAGACCTACGTAATTAATCAAATCAAACCAAAATAATAAATAAAAACGAAAATATAAATGCATCAAAAGGGATAACAATGAGGGATAACAAAAGAACTTGACAAAAAACAGAAGTAAAACTTAAAAATTTCGTTCACATAATGGCTGGGAAAAAGACACAACTTTTGGACATGTGTACTTGAAATGTTTTTGATTGTGCGTGATTAAAGTAATTTAAATCGTTGATAAAAACAAGATAGAAAATATAATCGCAGTACACAAATGGACTTACCATCGCTCAACACGACTTCCGCCTGCCTGGGCACTGGCGCTTGTTGCGTCTGGATCTCAATGACCTGGTGCTCTAAAATATGAGTTACATATTAGTTTCTGGTATTAGCAATAGTTTGCAAGTAGCCAACGTACCGGTCTCTGGTTCACTTTGAGGGTATTTCTTTGTCCCCGCCTGCAGGACCGCTTCTGATTCCGAAAAATCTGTGTCGGTATCTAAAAAATGTTTTAAAATATATTATTAATATGATATAGCGATATAGCCGATTGCTGCCAACTTACATTCGCCATGCACCGATTTCTTTTTGCGCTCCACCGTGCGCTTATATTCATTGAGTTCATCGTCCGTGACATTGTCGAATGGATTTTTGGCATACGGAGCCTTGTACACCGTGGCATTGTGTTGGAATCCACGCTGGATGATTCCCTTGGAAGCGGCACCCATCATGACGACATGGTCGCCGGCCTGCGAAACCGTTGCGTCCTTCAGTCGGCTCGCCTCGTCCCATGTGACGCCCTCCAGAATATGCGACTGTGGTCCGGCGGAAATCTTATCGGCCCGGCGGTTGTCCTTAATCTGTTTTGATAAGCTCCCAGTTTGTAATCAGATCTATTAGGGATTAAGCGCGTAAAATACTAACTAGTTGCTGGACTCGCTTGAACTCTCTTGGATTTGTTCCTGCAGGCACAAACTGGAGTGGATCTTCTATCCTCACTGGCGTTGAGTGGGTGGGGGAACCCTCAGCCACCCACTTTAAGTTTTTGTTTTTTAAATCGTAAATAATGTTTTGTGTGGAGTTTGGGGTCGGGGCAATGCAAATAGAAAAGAAAGAGAAAGAAATTTGTGTTTAATGTGGGTTGAATACTCAAGATTCTTATTAAAATGGGAAGATCTCAATAATAAACATTCCCATTCAAAATGTAGAATCATTTTTTAAAGATATAGTAATCTTATTTTAATACAAATAGTTGAATCTTAAAATTAATGTTAGATCTTTAGCATTCCATTGCATACTGTTTTTTTTATAATTAATTTTACAAAGTTTTACATACAAATAAATTATGATCCCACGTTATACTTTTAGAATAGATAGCATTTGCATTTGCAACGATCAAATAAAAATAAAATAACTGACATAACAAGCATAAATGATTTTGTGCCTTTAAAAACAATGAAAACAATCACAAAAAGAATAAAAGAAAAAAATTATTAAACATGCAAAGAAAAGTTTGATGAATGAAAAATAATATGGTTAAATATGAAATAACTGAGTGAAATATAAAATGCTGTTTTATTTATTACGTAGTGATTAGTAGTATAGCTAATTTCTTTCTCTTTCTTTGCATTGTTTTAAATTGTTTTTATCGACTTGTTTTTGAGGCAGCAAAATCCTTAAAAGAGGCACAAAATCATCTATGCAAATTTGTATTTTTCGTTTATTTTATTTATTTGATTAATGCACATTACACAGTATTTGTTTGCTCGCTAGCAAAGCACGTAAATTAATTTTGGTTTAGCACTTGTTCAAATTCTATTTCCAAAGTATATAAATATATAGGTTTTGTTTATAGATTACTTTAATTTTCTTAAAATCTAAGAAATTTTATGCGTGAATATAGTCGCAGCTGAATAGCAAAGTCGGAACTAAAACTGAGTGCTAACGAAATGGAAATCATATATGGGGGTAGCTAGTGGAATGTCTGGAAAGAGTTGAGGGATGCGGTATCCAACAATTTCAACTATTTCCCCTCAATCTCCTTAAGGCTGGTGGTTTTGGTTTGCTTCATATCTTCGAAAGTAATGATCTCTACCTTTGTAATCTTCTTGGGATCCGGAGTGCCGGTCTCCAAAACCTCGACCTTCTGGTAAACGTTGGGCGAGTTAAGCCACCGGCTACGGTCTCCGCCCTTGCGCAGATCTCCCTTCTTCCAGATTCTAATATGGGATAGATATTTATGAGTAAAATGTACACTACCATTAAAGTTAATTTCTCTTACCCTTGACGGAAAAGCTCCTCCTCCTCGAGAAGATAGCCCAACGATGAAACAGCTGGTGGTAATTCCACATCGTTCTTAGGCTTAGGAGGATCCGATTTGATCAGCGGATGACGGTAGATGTAGCCAGTGCGATAGCCAGCGTTGTCCAGCATGCGCATCAAGGCCTCAAACTCAGCACCGCCAACACGCCACTTGGGCGGACTTCCCACCTTGGGCACGGGAGCCTCGGTCGCTTCCTTTTCGGCAGCGGCAGCACCATCTTCGCCTGCCACGACGGCGGCAAACTTCTTCTCCAGATCCTCAGGCGGACGACGCGACTGATCGTAGATGGCCTTGCGCGACTCCTCTGGAATCAGCACCAAGTTATCCAAACCGACAGGCAACAGCTTGAGTTGGGTCTCGCACGCCTGCACAATGTGACAGGCTGCAAAGAAGGCTTCCTCGATGGTCTCGCCACAGCACAAAGCACCGTGGTTGGCCAGCAGAATCACCTTGGAGTTGGGACCAAGGCTTCGCACCAATCGATTGCGCTCCTCCTCGTCGAATAAGCCGGTATAGGCGTGAGTAGTGATCTCGCCCAGCACACAGGCATCCTTGGTCAGCGGCAGCAGGCCGGATTTCAGCGAGGAAATGGCCACAACCGGACTGCAGCCAATGTAGATGGCGCAACGAATGTCTGGACGGGCAGCGTGTACCACCGAGTGGAGGATAAAGTCTGAAAAGGGTTCAGTTATATATTTAATATAAAAAATAAAAAAAAACAATATCCAATTAATAATTCAAACTTACGACTCTTGTTGCCGCCAAAGTTAGTGGTGCCCTGCTCCACAATCTGGCCCTGCATATCCACCTTGTTCAGCGCCGAGGCAGTGATCTCGTGGTAGAGCAGGCCGTACGGGTTAACCAAGAAGTACTCCTGGTCGACCTTAAGTCGGGCGGTGATCTGTGCCCCCAGACCCTGGGTCCAGCCGTACAGATCGAGCAGACGGAATGTGGCGGCCAACTTGCACCGAAGTATCTTCTCGCCCTTGGCGTAGCCCATGGACTCGACGCCGCGTATGTCGTTGATGGGCACCATGCAGTTGCTGCTCTTAAAGACGCTGCCCACCCGCGATACCGGCACGCCGACAATGTCCGACAGCTGCTGCAGGATCCCACTGGCGCCAGCTCCTCCATCTCGGGCCGAGTCCACGATACGCTCCAGCTCCTCGCGGAACAACTTCGAACCCATTATGGCCTCAACCCGCTTGCGACGCTCCATTTCGCGCATATCCTGGGGGAAGGGGAAAGTGAAAATGTGAAAAAAAAGGAAGCAAGTGAGGGGTGTTTCTCCAATTAAGGCTTCGATGGCTGCACTTACCTGTTCAATATCCGCGGGACGTACTTGGTTTTTGTCATCATCTTCGCCGGCAGTGGGATCTATGCCATTCTGTGGCGGTTGCTCAACTTCAGTCATGATTTATTTCCTTTTGTTTTTCAGTTAAAATGCTGCAATTAAATGAAAGGGAGGTTTTTTTTCTTTATTTAGGAAAAGTTCTTCTTCAACTTGACGCTCAGCTGGAAAATTTTCGACTGACCTTAAAACTGCAGGGCAGAAGCACCAAAAAGGGGGTGGCAAACAAGACAGAGAGACAGAGTGAAAAAGAGAGCGCAGTGCAACCACCCAAGTAAGAGAGCCTCTCAGAGAGTGAAAGACTGACAGATTTCGCTGTGAATGTCAAAAAGTTTTTGGGGGAAAGCAGAGAAAGTGAGGGAGGGGTGACAGAATAGACTGCCGCCGAATATTTCCACTTTAGTTAATGTCTAATTTTGGCCAAAATAAATTCTCAATTTTAGGGGGAAAACTCTGGGGAAAATGCATACGTACATCCGTATTTTTTCCATACCCACGTGCTGAAGCGACAGCATAAACGAAATCGGGGAAAACTATTTTAAGATCCATTTGGCTTTTTGGGGAAGACAAAATTGATGCCTAGAAAATCAAAACGAACAAGAAGGAACTAGCATTCTCGATCCGAAAACGAGAGAGCGAGAAACCGAAATAAATAAACAAAAAAATGCTCTTTAAGTCTTTAGGCGTGGTGCGTTCTAATACCACGAAAATTAACCTTCAAATTCTAGTAAACAATCAGCATGCGAATAAACACTAAAGAATAATGTCATCAACAAATCGCGCGGCTGAGACAACAGATCGAAAAACAATGTCTTGGCTCAGCCAAAATTGCAACCCGAAACAGCTAAAAACGAACCGACTTTATTCGATTCCTACATGACACACTTGAAGCAACCATAAACCATAATTAATGTGCATTATGCTGACCCGATTTCTTACAAGTACACCCACCCACACATCTTTAGTTCTTCCGCCAATTAAAAGCAAAAATTTCTACAAAATGTGCCAATTTAGAGAGGAAATTGCAATGAACAATGAAGAAGGAAAGGGAATAAAAAAAAGGCTTAGGGGCAAGTACACGGAAAGAAAAATAGATTGTCATATTTGTTTTAAAATTTACAACTTGGTTTTGACATTTTTAAAATCAATGATATTCTTTTTAAATTTTAGTCCTAAAAATGTTGAACCAAATTTAAAATATTTTTTCCCTTCGCTATAAAAATGTTTCCTATGTAAAGTATAGCCCCATTCGTGGGCGGTGCCTTTTGTAGTCGGCTTATAAGCTCAGGGAAGAAAACATGGTCACAAAAAGAGGAAGGCACAAAGCAATTGCTTTGCAAAAGTGCATTGCCAAAGGCTTTATTTGCTGTTGGCTTCCCCGTTTGCTAATTATGACGTATTGGCAACGCGTGCCGCATATTTTAGTTCGATCTTAACAACAGTATCGTGATGTGAGGGGTAGTTGAACTTTGCTGCCAACAGCACCTCAACGCAACGTGCGTGGGCGTCGGTAGATGTTTTCAGTTTTGGTTGAAATAAAACAGAATAATGCTGAATAAATGCTTTTCAAGTGACTACAAAAACAAAAAATGCAGACGAGCTGGGGAGTTGTGTATGCGTGGGCGTTGAATAAACTTAACGAGCCAAAGAGTTTTCCAGCGTGGGTTGAATCAGACTCCTCCGAATGGAGTTGGAATTTGCGTAGGTGGCAAAAGTTTGATTAAAGTCAAGAAAAAGAAGATTTCTCACGCATTGTAAGCATCTTAAAAGAAATATTAGTTTACCCTACCAATTAATTTTTCCTTAAAAATTGTAGTTAATTGAAGCGAAAAAATTTTTTCATGTTCCGTTAAAACCAAATGTTACAAATTAAATTGAATAAACCCAAAATAAATTTTTCATTCTTTACTACAATTTAGCCAAATGTTACAATGGACTAAAACGTTGAATTTAGACCAATCAAAAACCTGCATTTAGTTTATCAAATGAACTTTGGCAATGCCAAACAATAGCTCCATATCACTCTCTCTTGGATTTTTCACTCTGACCTTTTTGTACGGAAGACAATAATTAAATTTAGGAGCAGCCAACGCCACAGCGACGCCATCGTCGTCGCCACCGTCGCGTCAGCGTCAGACAATTGTTGTTGACATTATGCAATTACATCACACTTGTTTGGCGCGGGACACACCCATGTCTTTCAATGGATAAAGTGTGCCGGCTCCAAAACCGGCAAACCGAGAATCTTTGTATGTATAAACTTTATTTCATAGAATGTGGGGAATGTTATGAAGGCAAGGCAGATAACGAAGACCTCCCTGCAAAAATACCCTGCTTAACAGCATGATAATTAGTCAAGGTTTGGCCAAGATAACAGGCTTTATAATCGCCAAACAAACTTACATTTATAAAAGACCAAAACTTGTCTTTAAGTTACCAATAATATTTATTTGGTTTTATTGCATTTATTTAAATTTTAAACCAAAATATATATTTTGTACTCCAATTAGCAGCTCAAGCCAATTGACCCAGAGAACCATACACCCTCTATATACATATGGTTTTCACACATATGCTGCTGGCGTTAATTAAATTTCCCAAGTATTCAATTATCGCGCAACGGAAGAGATCTTACGTAATCTTCCAATCCATCGAGCGCAGCCCAGACAGCTGTCCCATCGCCTCAAGTGCGAGATGTAAGAGCGGCAGGCAATAAGGTCGCTCGCAAATGATTTCATTCAGTTTTAATAATGCAACAAGTCACTCACTCAGTCAGTGGGGTACATGGCCAGTTCCAATGATGATGATCATGTGGAAAGATTTTTAAAGCCACAAAAAAAAAAGATCACTCCACTATGGCGGCGACAACAATAAAGTGAGAATAGTTACACAAAACGAGTGCAATAAACCAACGTCAAGTGTAAATAATGATAATTTGTAGCCTGTCACTTTTTCTCCGATTCAAATGAAATGTGGAGGTACATTCATTCATTCAAAGAAAATTGGTTCAAAGCTTTCTTAAGTTCTAAATTATTAAAGTTTTTATCATCCGCCTCTGCTTAGTTTACCAAAAATGTGTAAAACGGTCCAAAGAAATAGTTTATTTTTAGAAACACAAAAATTAAGTAACGGTATTCAATATTTATCTTATACATGTTCCTAAATGAGTTTAATCATATTACCCTGATTGAATACCTACAGTATTGTTGTTGTATAAAGTTGACGTTGTGGATCACTGGGACGACGCGCACACCGTGAAAATATATACGTTTTAATCTGCGAAACGTGGTCAAAGAGAACTTGCAATGTTTGCCAGTCCCGCAGTAGAACGTTTCGCACCAGACCATCCCCGGATTTCCCAACCAACGCACCAGAAATGAGTAAGAGAGCTCTGCTGCTCCGACGCCAGTTGGTATATTTCACTTTTGACGCGCTTGCTCCACAAGCAGTCGTGGCCGAGTGGTTAAGGCGTCTGACTCGAAATCAGATTCCCTCTGGGAGCGTAGGTTCGAATCCTACCGGCTGCGATACGAGTATTCTTTTTTTTTTCTTTTTTTTATTTGCTTGTTTCATCAAAACTAAATTTTTTTAAACTATTGCTTGACTAAAAAAGATTATAAAGCGATGTTAAACTAGATATGATGAATTTACTTTTTCGTTCAGTTATTGTTTTTTTGCTATTGAAAATAAATGTTGCTCGTAAATAACATTTAATAAAATTAAATGATGTATCTGAAAAGCCTTTTTCATTTAATATCCACCTAGTTTTCATTGCCATTGAAAATTTGTCAACGTTAGCTGGTTATTTTCCCTCCCCTATTTGTTTGTGGAACCAAAACTGTTCGGTGTTTGGCTGCCCGGCTTTCAGCTGTTTCCGTGGTGTAGCGGTTATCACATCTGCCTAACACGCAGAAGGCCCCCGGTTCGATCCCGGGCGGAAACATGTCGTACTTTTTTATTATTTTTTTATTTACTTGAAATATAAATTTGTATTTTTTACTAACAAAAAAAGAATCGAAAACATATTGTACGACAAAACCAACCATACAAAATTGGCAACATAAAGTAAAACCAAATGCATTTCCTTAACGCTCATATTATTTGAAGAACTATAACTAGAATCTTAGAAATAAATAAATAAAACTTAAGAAGTTTGAAGAAATTATAGTAACCTTTGTATGAATAAAATGGTATGAATGCATAGCAAAAGCCTAGCATCATCTAATATTGCTCGATTTATAGCAGTTGGGTTTATGGTACTGTAGATAACTTCAAAATTCATTTAAGGGAAACTATTTAAATATTGTAAATAAAATTAAATATGTAAACAACTACTACTGTTTGTTTCACTTAATTTCCCAACCGTTCCTCATTGCCTTCGACGTTGTCGACATGGAAAGTACTATTTCGCTTTTGGCTGGCCTGGCTTCAACTGTTTCCGTGGTGTAGCGGTTATCACATCTGCCTAACACGCAGAAGGCCCCCGGTTCGATCCCGGGCGGAAACATGTTGACGTTTTTTTTTTTTCTTTCCGAATACATTTTTATTTTGCTCACTTGCCCGCTTCCCAACTTTTAAAAGTAATTATAACCGTTCAAATAAAGATAAGCTAAATGACGCGCTGTCTGTCGTATCTGTGACCTGTCATCAACGAAATGTCTTCATCTTTGTATGTGGACTTTATATTTTCTAAGTTTTAGACAATTAGTCCGTCCGTGAGTGGGAATATCTTAATAAGGTGGTGGCAGGTCTAGTCGTGCGGTGCTGACTCTTCATCTGCCCCTTGCTAATTTTGTTTGTTTTGCTAACCAGCTGCCAGTTTGTCTGGCTCGTACCCGTTCGTTCTTCTTGCCTCCCCTCTTCTCACTTTAATTTATTTTATTTTACTTCACTTCTCTGGGTCCAGAGGCCCACTACTATCCGGCTACCGAAAGTCGCGTGTGAGTCGCGTGGCTTGAATTACAAAATCCGCACATAAATCTCATAAAAGTTGGCGCCAACGCCCATTGTGTATGAAGAAAAAGACTTGAGAAGAGTGCATAAATACAACAATTGCTGCTTCTGGTGGAAGGAAAACAAAAGTTAAGTGACAACAACAAGTGGTCAAGTTGAACGAAAGGAAAATGATTTATTTGCTTTGCTTTCGGCTTTCTGCTTTTTGTCTGCTTTTCCTGCCCTTGATGTAAACTAAAGCCTTTTTGTAGTCACCAACAAAATGAATTTCTTTGCGCTGCTTTTTTGGTGTCTTTGACTCACTTGGCCAAAGGCCAGAAAAAAGCTTGCCCAATTTTTGTATTTTTGATTCACATAAATTTAGTTTGTAAAATTGCCAAATAAACTTGAAATCTGCACAGTTGTTGAGGTTGGGTGACGTCCATGGTTAATATCATTAATAAATATTGCTTAGTGAATGGTGAAATATGAATGGCACAAAGCTCATGGTCATGTTTATGTTTATCTTTGTAAATCCCAAAACTGAACTTTCATATTCAGGGAGCTCAAGAGTTTTTTTTCAATTTCTTACAACAAACTTTTGGATGGAATTTGGTTAAAAGAGGGATTACAATTTTATATAATACTGTTTAGGTTTCTTATTATTGTCTTTCCAAGTCAAGTCCTCAACTGGGGGCTGAAATAATCTTATTTGTTGAGTATGACATCATCCAGGACATTGTCGCACCCAAAACCTTCCCTCCTTCACCCCACCACACAACGCAAATAGAACTTCATCCCTTGAAATATGACGTCACTTCCTGTCATTAACTCAAAACGAAACTCAAACATAAACAGCCATGGCACAAGCACCACCACCCAAAGCCGCCCACACCAAGGATATTTTTACGAGTCGCGTGGAAACATTTTCCGGCCGGCAAACTGAATTGGTGGCGCCACCATTCTGGTATTCAGTCATTTTATGGCTCCGCCGACTATCAAAATTGCATGGCAACACGACGGTAATGAAAATGCCGGCCACAAAAAGGAAAACGAACCGAAAAAAAGGAATCAACACTGTAAGGACAATAAGGAAAGCCCAATAAAAACTTGGGCGTGTCGCGGGACAGGGACAGGTATTTCCATAAGGAATCGCGCCTCATTTCACTTGTCCTGCGGATCGAGGTGGATGATTGGTGGTTGAACTCTGGTGACCCCCAACACGCGACCGGCATCGTGTGGCGGTGAAAATATCAGAGCCTGCTGCGTGTTTACGGTTAGTTTGAGTTTCCCGGATAATCGATGGAAAGCCCAACGACCCACACACACTGTCCTTAGCGACGGTAACTTAATCTTGATACGAACACATATTTGCAGCGTTTAATGGGGTTTTAATTATACTGCCAGTACAGTCTGCATCCGGTTTGTTTAGCAATAATTATTGAAGGCTTTCGAAGGGTTGAAGACTGTCGACAGGGCAGCAATATCCTTAACGGTCGCTGAACCTTTTTGCTCAATTATTTTTGTAATAATTGTAATGAATAGTAGGTATGTATGAAATTTAATTCAATCTCATACACGAATATTTCAGAACCTTTATAAGTATCTATTTCGTTATAAAAAAAAATACCGATACCTAATTTATGGTTAGATGAGGGGAATTCCCATTCTACGACCTCTCTAAAACAAAAGCTCATTAAAATCAAGCGTACAATATTTTTTAAAATTGGCTTTGCCAAAAGCAATAAGCGAACCTATTAGGAAACTTTTTACCCCGATTGCCAAAGACAGAGAAATAAAAACCAAAGTTGGTCCCGCGGTCTGGTTCAATGACCCATTTATAAAAGTGCTAGATGAGCGCCAAACAATCCAATCTTCTCTGCTGTCTCCCTGTTTATTGCTCCCTTTATTTGCTGAAAGCCAGTGTACCATGCCCGAAGGGTAAATCAAAATTTATATATATGTGATATGTACACTGCACATAGATATGAAGATATACATATAGCATTACGCACATACACAAATGGTCGTAAATGAAACAGTCGGAATGAAAGCGCCAAGCAGACTCAACGCTTAAGTGGCTTTTAATTCAATTTCAGGCGAAGCAGAAAGAGAGCATAAAGAATGTATGATGTACCAAAAAGTCCAGTAAAACAAAGGTCATCCTTAATTGAATTAGAGGTGAAGTTATGCGTGGCATGTAAAGAGATCCGAGATATAAAAAACCCAAGAGAAACATCAATTTGCATTTCAATTACATGACAACTACATTTTTATATCAGTTGAAATATCAAAGATAAGATTCCCATTTAGCTTATCGGACAAAGTGAAGAGACTCGCCCCATGACATCATCCTTAGTTGTTGATTATAAAAATATGAATCTCAAATCTATGCAAAAAGAGAGGCAGATGACAGAAATCTCCGCTTGAGTGCCGTAAATACAAATCATTTATTTCCCTTTGACGGTCACGGCCTCGATTAGTTCTCAATTAGTTTGGCAAACAATACAAAAAAAAATACAAAACAACAAGAAAAACCCGGAATATAATTATATATCGCTCAAGTATGGCGTAAGCAAAAAGTTCAAAGTTGAGAGAGGTGTGGTTTCCTCTTCTCTCTACAACTTTTTCCAAACCTCTCCTCAGTAAACAAGAGTCAATAAAAACCAAAGAGAGACCTCAATCACAATCATTGCAAAAACTAAAAGTAAATATGTGCCGGCAGATATGATATAAAATAAACAAGAAACGCAAGCGGCATATATAACACCAGCAAAGGGGTGGAACGCGGCGGGTTGGTGCCCGACTAATAATCGTAACTCAGCTAAAGGGAGGAGGGAGAAGAATATGTTGACAATTTATAAAGCGTATAACTTTTAATGAATGGTCCGATTTGAAAATGTCTCTACATTTCGATAGGTATAAATATACACAACAAAATTGCATTTATACTTCCGAAATCTAAAGATGTGGGCGCAGGACCCATTTTAAAATCGCTAGTGGGCGATTGTGGGCGTTAGAGAGGCGTGGCGCTCGGCTAAAATAAACTGCGCTGCGTAGGAAGCCAAAAATATGTGGAAATCTCAACCTTCTAGCTATTGTAGTTTCTGAGATCTCAGCGTTCATACAGACAGACAGACGGACAGACGGACGGACAGACGGACATGGCTAGATCGACTCGGCTAGTGACCCTGTTCAAGAATATATATACTTTATGGGGTCGGAAACGCTTCCTTCTAGCTGTTACATACTTTTGCACGAATCTAGTATACCCTTTTACTCTACGAGTAACGGGTATAATAAGTCAAGACAGGGAACTCGAGCTTGTTTGCTCCGTTTTGTTATTGTTTGCTTGCTTGGCACTTGACATATGGGCGTGCACTCGAGTAGATCTAAAACTCACCTTAAAATTGAATTTGTTGCGTGGTTATAATACTTTTATATTGATGTGTGCCTGCAATGAAATATTAAAAACATTACGGAATTAATAAGAGAAATTGTACATTAAGTAACAAATTAGATGAAACAATAGTTTTAAAACAAAATATTTAGGAAGTCAAAGTTTATCAAACTTTATGAAATTTTACTTGTCATGTAAACACAAATCTATTTTGTTTGAAGATTTAAAAAAAAGAAAAGGTTCCTTGTAAACATTTTCCTCTTAATTTAAAATTAAATGGCTTAAAATAATGTTCTAAATCCATTTTTAAATGATTTGAGAAAACAAATGCGATCGAAATGGATTTTCTTTGACCAACTCAATATTGTATCAAAATTCTCAGAGATAATTTTCCCTTTTCTCTCGTCTTCAACGCAAACAGAGAGTTATTATTGAGAATGCTGTGTCTGCCGCTCTGCGGTCAGCGCCTCTTTCCGATGATGTCATGTGAATATTTTTAGTTTGCGCACGTTAAAATATTTTCGTACTACTCGTTATTTTATATTGCGCTTTGCCCAGACATACAGACACATATAGTAAATACAGCGATATGAGACTCTCCCAGCAAACCAAATAAAATAATTGAATTATTGAGGGGGAGGCAGCAAGCAAACTGGAATTCTTCGGCAGCGGAAAATCACATATAGGAAAAGCCGGAAAAATTTGCATACAAACTACTAAGCTGTTAAGCATCGTCATCAGCATAGCCGAATATTAATTCAATTTAATTTAATTTAATTACACCTTTCTCCGATGCGCTCAGGTGATCATCTTGCTCATTTCGCTTTCCACGCACAATTGCAGTCTGAAATTGGCCAATAAATGCGCTCTAAATGTTTCTGCGTGAAAGCTCAGACACGAAACATTGGTAATGCATTTAAGCTGCTTCTGGTGTTGATTTACAAACTCTCGGAGGATATAAACGATTATGTAAGCCGCCTCTTTCGTGTGCTACACAATCGCTTTTTCAACCTCCCCCTTTTTTTTGTAATATCTTTTTTTTTTGCATTATGAATTCATTTATGCAGCAACACGTTTGCGCTTATTGTTGCTCCAGCTCTATTGTTATATGACGATGATAATGATGATGGTCTTTTTATAGAGCTTTATTGTTGCCCTCGTGTTTGGGCAATGCTTCAATGCAGAGAAGTTGTTTAAAAACCAGATTTTTTTATTGACATTTGTGCCCAGTAAAGTGGGTTAGCCAGCCATTTAGAAGAGGGAAAATCATTTGACAGAGCAGTTCTATTTAAAACTTGGCGGAAGAGCAATTGCATATCCATTTATTGTATTATGGTCAGCCACTTGTCACGTTTGAAAGCCACAAACCCAAATTACATTTAATTCCATAGTATTTACATTAATTACAACAAATTGTGGCAATTTGAAGATACGAGAAAAAAAAAAAGAACTGGTTCCCATTTCCCACGCCTACACAACAGGGAGAGAACGAACAACGGGAAAAGCCTAAATTCCGATTTAAATTTAGTTCAGTCGGATAAGACCGCCATAATAACAGGCTTTCAATCACTTTCGACCAGCAGGGAGGGGATTATATGTACATATATTCGAAACAAAGAGAGGAGACAAGAAAGAAACCCAACTAGAAGATACAATTCAATTGAAGTTCAAGCGCAGCAGAAGAAATGCCAGCAAGAAATGTTAAAGAAGGCAAGAAATGCAGACACACAGCTCCATCATCATCATCATCGCCGCTGTTTTCCCATCTTTATAGAAATTGTCTACATTTTTCTCTGCTTTGCTCCACAACATTTTCGATATAATTATCCACATTGTTTTGTTTTCCTTCTGCGGGTTCCGAGCTTTCAGAGCTGAAATAACAACAGAGGACAGTGACAAAAAACAGTGACTGCACTTTACATAATGCTCTTCGGATCTTATAATAACAATAATTCAATACAACTATTAAAGTACAAATGTTATAAGTAATAAATACAGAAAATAAACAACAAGTCGTTGTGCTTTAAATATAAAAACTATGTGGTTCCCGAAAGAGAACCTACCGTGCAAATAATATAAAGAGTATAAAAGCTTCGTTATGCGCTCAACTCTTTTTTATTTTCTTCCAAGATTTATGTTGTGTTGCGGCAGTTTGTTGTTGCTGCCCGATGTGGCTGTGCTGCTTCTGCAACTGTACATTTGTTATTGCTTGTCCCTGTCCCCGTCTCTTTCTACCTCTGTAGCCTGAGTTCCAGTGTCTGGTTTATTGTTGTTCTTGCTGTTTTATTGATGAGCTGCAGTTGTTTAGCCAGCAGCAACATCTCTCTTTTTTTAATCTCGCTTATGTGTCTCTGTTTTGAAGCTTGGCACGTACGCCTCTTTTATTTATTTTTGTGTGGAGGGTTTCTCTCTCTTTTCCCGTCTCACTCTGTTGCATCTTCACGTCAATTTGCTTTGGGGCAGAAACGGAGTGCATTTTTTTTTGTTTTTTTGTTTGGTTTTTAGGGAGCCATAAATTTTGAGCATTCGCTCTTGGACAAATTTGTTTTTTGTCTTAGCCAGGGTTGCCAGACTCGTCGGATAAATGGGATACCCAGCTCCATTAATCAAAATTATGCAGCTTAATCCTAACCGTTTTCAAGTCAATTAATCACCGGTGATGTGACGTCAGTGGGAAATTTGATAAGCTCACGCTTGAGTAAACAATTTCCAATTCCCAATCAAAATTCATTAGGACTGGTTGGCCCATCAAATGCATTTGCATTGACGGACACGCCTCATTAAAGGTTAGAAAGTTTGGATTTTCGTCAACTTGAAGTGCACTTCTTGTCTTTCTTTTTTTTTTTATTGTTTCGGGGGCTAACAATGTCGAATTTCCGTCTCATTTCCATACAAACATTTTTTTTTGGTTAGTTTCCTCAACAATTGTTTACAGTTTTAACTATGCACTTCCTCCCGTCTGAATGAGACACACACGCAAAAAAAAAAACAGATAAAAATAAATATAAATCGGTATTTGGATAAAATATAAATTTTAAATCTTAGTGATTTTTTTGTAATTTTTCATCTTAATAATTTGTTTTTCACATTTTATATTTTTAATGATCAACAATATTATATGATATTATTTTTCTCTATGTGTATTCAGCTGACATCCATGCGAGTAGCACGTTCATTTGTCACTTTTTCATAGCGGAAATAGCGGTATTTATTTGTTTTTCTTTTTAGTTTTACACTAATTCTTAGCTTGGCCTTTATAGTATCCGTAGTAAAAATTCTCATTTAAATAAAATTTTCTTTGAAAATACAAAAATGCCTCAACAATTTTAGGAACTTTCGCATTGCAACTTACGGGTTGCAAAAAAAAACTCAATTGAAACCCTCAACAAACGAGTCACTTCTAATTTGCGAATTGAAAACGGACAACGGCAAAAGAGGAACAAATAAAAACACGGGCACAAGTGGAAATGATAAGGGGTGATAAAGGGGGAGGCAGCATAAGCAATGAATTATAAAGCCCACTGTCCATGTGTCTGCGTGTGTGTGTATTCGAATTAGCAACAAAAGCCATCAAACAAAAAGAGCAAATTTTCATTTCAATCTTTTTTTTTGTGTAAGCAATGTGTGCGAAATGACGTCATGTAGCGCACAATAGGTAGTTGAAGCAGAGGAATGCTAGATTTCGATGATATACTACAGAATTTTATAGAAATCGTAGAAAGTGCCTAAAGTAAAATGGATCGGTTAGTTTGCTATTGGCATTGCAAAAAAAAAACCTTAGAACTTCGAAGGCTTTCTGTTGCTGTAATGTACAGGGGTACTTGTATCGGAACAATCTAACCAGAAAACGTAACAAGTGCGAAGGTTCCGATAAGATTGCCACAGAACACAAATACAGTCAAACTTCTATGACTCTGCACCATTCAAAATTTATTTAAGGCTTGCCTATGAGAAACAAGAATTCAAAGAATAAGTATTACAGATTTAATAAAATTGTTTTTTAAATCTTAGCTTGTTTCTTACGAAGCAATAGTTATAAATTACTACACCATTTTATTTTCCCCAAATAAATTGCTTTTGTTATAAATATAGAATTTTTTTTCTTTTCTTATTCCCTTTTTTAAAATTTTTTTTACCTTAAAATGTGTTTTTTTGATCAGCCCAATTAGATGTGACTATGCAAAGTAAAGGAAAAACATTGAAAAAAAGCAAATCGAAAGCACTTGCAAGAACTCACTTTAGCAACTATTAAATCTCGCCTGCAGTGGAGGCATTGGGTTGCACTGACAAATGGCATAAACAAGTTTTCAATATTTACAAATCTGTTTATCACTTGTTGCTGCTTTTCGCTATTTACTTTGCTGAAAGGCGAGAGACCAAGGAGGAAAAGTGGGTCACAAAACTTGCCAACAGATGCGCGCCAGCAGGCGATTTATTAGCGACAACCCAGGCAGCCAAGTGCATTAGACACACTCCTAAGATTCGCAAGTGGCAACAAATGGCTAAGAAAAAATACAGCAAAAATTTGATAAAATCTGCGGCGAAAATCGAAAAGCCGTATGACGTGCAACTGTATTTTTATTTTCTACAATCTGACAAGCGCATAGAAAGTCGTAGGGAGAAAGAAGCATGAATCATAAGGAAAGGAAAAGCACACGCACACACAATCACACCCACCCAAAAAAAGAGAAAGAGAGAAGAAAAGTGGCCAGAACATTAAGCTTAAACAGTGGCGGATTAAAGGGGTTAAATAGGAACAGTGTCCAAAACGGTTTTCCTGGATACAAACATTATAAATGATTTTTTATTTAAATTGTGAACATTTTTTTAAAACAACAGGGAAACCCCCTTTTAAATGTACTCCAGATCCGCCACTGTGCTTAAAGCATAACAACAAAATAGACACATTCACACACACCGCCGTGTTGCGTGTGCTTGACCAAACCCAAAAAACAAAAACAACACTTATTAGAGAAGCACAAAAGATGGCGTCACCGGGCAAATTGCGGCTCATCGTTATAACGGTTAAAACGAATGCAGGGCAGGGGAGGTTATTTAATATTAACGCGACTAACAGTGTAATATAGAAAAACTCACCGGTATTTTTTGTAAAAACTTTGATCCTCCGCAAACACAGGTCACAAATACAACGAGGAACGCACGCGTTTTTTATATGTACTCTCGCTCTTGCACCTCGGTTTTCGTTTTTCGGCAGCTATTTCGTACAAACACACATACGCCACAGAGAGAGAGACTATCGGTAAAAGGGGAGGGAGAGGGAAAGAGAATTTAATAGATTTAACTTTTTGCCTTAAATACAATTTGTTTAAAATATTTTATTTTTTGTTTTTGGGACTTGCACTACACCAAGTAACTGTTAATATGTATTAAAGATGGCCGCTGCTAACGGCACTTTGCACTGTCGATTCATTAATAAATTGCACCGCGCACTGTAAATTATTTTTTAGAATTCCCTACGAAAAGCTAATAAAAAATTGTACTGAGAGGAGTGTTCAATTGATTTAAAATTTAATTTTTTAGGTTTTGGGGCTTCTTGCACTGCACCAAGTAACTGTTAATATTTTTCAAAGATGGCCGCTGCTAACGGCGCTTTGCACTGTAGATTCTTTGAAGAATTGCACCGCGAAATAAATATTTTGTAAAATTCCCTACGAGAACTTAATCCAAAATTGTACGGACACGTCCGACGAACAGCGCACGTTGAGAAATGGACGAGGAATGAAGCGCAAAAGAGAACGGCGCACTGTGAGAAACAGAGGGAGAAAGAGAATCGAACTGGAAGGCGGCGGGCAAGTGGAGAAGTTAAACATTTGTACATGGGTAGCTCTCAGACAAACTGGCTTCAAAAACGGGGTTAACTAAATTTGGTAAACAATCGAAAAGCATTAGTTTGCCGTAAAAACCGCTCAAATTGCGCAAAATATTTAAATTATGAAAAAGAGAGCGAGAGAGAGAGTACTTCATCCTGCAACGCCCAAATATACGCGCTTGTGTGTGTGTTAAAAGAGACAGAGAGAGTGTGTGGGGAGGAACGAAGATTGGGAGCAAAGAGTGGGGGGAGGTGCAAGTCCTTTCCGACACCTTGACCACAAAAAAAGGTTTTTTCGGCGCTCTCGCCGCACTTTTAGGTATTCTTTGCACAAAAACTATGTCAATTAAGCCGCACACGTCGATTATGTCATATTATTTATACAAATACACGTTCACACACAAGCGCCGCGCCATATACACACATTCGAGCCAGTGTGTGTGTATCAACGGCGTCCTCCCATCACCGGCAATGCCGTGAAAAAATCGATGGGCGCTCTGCGGCTCCGTTTCCGGGCTATTTTTTCGATTTCCTTTACTGAAGCCTATCACTAATTCGAGGAACCCACAAGTTGGCTGATAGTCACACAAAAAACCGCTGCTTACAATTTGTAAATGCTGAATTTCACGAAATTTCGCCCGCGTGATGTGTTTCGTTTTCGATATTTTCGCTTCGAGTGTGACCGGTCACGGTGACCCTAAAAAATCTGAAACAGTCGATATTTCCCTAAAAAATCCCCATCACCAAGACGGCGTTGCGTCAAAACGTAAGTGTTATACGTAACACCGGCTCTTCGTCATTAAGAGAGAGAGAGTTGAAATCCCCTAAAAAATCCCTCCATCGATATTCCACAACGGTTGTATTTTGTTCCAATTAGCAATTGTCAGCTCACAAATGTTTCCATAGAGGGCGCCCGTTTCCTTAAACCAGTTTCCCCCTTCCGCCAATTTGGCGCTCCTAAATGTTAGAGTTTTAATCGGGGTTGGTAAGCTGTCTTATCCGTACTTTTGTTTTAGATAGATAACTAGAGGTTAAAGCTGTCTGTGCTGAAACTTAGACTATTAAAACATTTAGAATTTGCAGATGAGGTACATTAGCTATAAAAAAATTTTTGACTCTCATATTAAAATACATTCTTTTTACGCATACATTTATTAGACACAGAAACCTACCATTTCAGGTGCTGAGCTCATTCGACCTTTAAAAGGTCCACCCTAATGTCCAACTCCAAAAAGTATCTCAAAGTTTTCGATTAAAAAATACCAAAGTATTCGATTCTCACAACCGGCAGTCAGGTGTTTAGATACAGATATAAATATTTGTAGTGAGCGAGTAATCTGAGTGAGTAAATATCTCTCAGGCTGAAAAGGTACGCGGATCCGTTACTTTATTGTGTTGTGATTTTTGGGAGTGAAAGTGCGTGATTCGAATCGGAAATCGTTCTCTCGGCAATCAAGGTCCATTAGAAATAGCCGAAATATATATAATTTAATAAGCTAGTGCTTCTTAAGAATATTCCCTCTTAATAAACGCTGGTCACGGGAATGAGCCAGGCCTAAAGAATGCATTAATTACCAAACCTGTTTAGATTTCGCAGTAGACTTACCAATGCTCGGAAATACAATAACAGATGGGGCCGCAACCAGCATATTTTGCCCCAATTAAAGGCCAATTTACGATGTATACCCCATATACATTTTACATATATAGTATTCCCTGGCTCAATTTCAATGTCACGGCTTTGTACATATGGATAAGGAACGGAGCCCAATCTCCCGAATAGCGCACACCCTTTGAGTCACCAGAGAATCTCATGCTTCCGAATGATGTCACACAATATAGCATATATACGGCTACATATAAATACAGCATTATATATGTAGAAACGTTTGAATTATATTTGGGTGCGAACCGAGAAATTCTTGTCTCCAAAGTATAATTTTTGTTTGATTAAACCTAATGCTCGTTGCGTGAATTAAAGTCATTTAATTTAAGTCGGGTCTTCGGCACGTTGGGAATACTAACCTACTAACGCTTTTGTAATACTCGTTAAACCATATTTATGCTTGATGCAACACAAGTTTGCCTACTTCTTTCTTGCATAAAGTAAAGACGTAAAGTCAGTACTTGCCCTGCCCCTTGCTTGATGCAACACAAGTTTGGGTGTGCTTTTAATTCCAGCGCGAGGCGAATAAGTAAATATGGGCGATATAAATATGGACTTTGCTAACTAGATATCATATACTGCCGCTCGAAATAAATGGGTTTTTAATCTGAGGCGGCACTGTGCTTTGGTTTCTGACATAGAAGTGTAATTTCAGATATCTGAACGATGGACGACTTGAGGGGATTCTTGAGGCAGGCAGGACAGGAGTTCCTCAATGCGGCTGGAGAGGCGGCGATGGGGGCGGCCAAGGATGTGGTCGGATCGGTGATCAACGAGATCTTCATCAAGAAGGAGGCCGACACCAAGAGGGTTTTGCCCAGCATCAAGAACATGAGAGTTGTAAGTTGACCCCCCGAGGTTATCAGTAGGTTATTTACAGGTCTATACTATACAAACAAAAACAATCCATTGAAATCCATATGCATGTTAACCACTACATTCCACTCAATCATTAGCAACCATTGCAATCTCAAAGTAAAAGTACTTTGTACTATGGGAACGTAAGTACCTAATTCAGTCATCGTTATGGCATTGACACAATTCCCTCGAAGGATAATGTCCTGCCAAAGTGTCGTACTGTGTTGTCCTTGTGTCGTTTTCCTTTCGCATGTAAAGTGCACAATGCATCCTCCTCGTTTATAAAACTCCATTACACAGATATACTCTGTACATACATATTACTCTTTCTGAAAAGCATATTTTTATATGGTTCATATTATTAACACTTAGTATTTTTTAGCTGGGAGAGAAGAGCTCGAACCTGGGACCCTATTCCGAGGTGCAGGACTATGAGACCATTTTGAACAGTTGCCTAGCCAGCGGATCCCTCTTCGAGGATCCCTTGTTCCCGGCTTCAAACGAGTCTCTTCAGTTTTCGCGACGCCCCGATCGTCACATCGAATGGCTCAGACCTCATGTAAGTTGGATATAATATATTAGTTACTAAATAATTATAATGATATATATTTTACAGGAAATTGCCGAGAATCCCCAGTTTTTCGTGGAGGGCTATTCGCGATTCGATGTCCAGCAAGGAGAACTTGGTGATTGGTAAGTAAAATCTTACAAGTATAGAAATATAACTAAGAATACCACAATCCTTTGCAGTTGGCTCTTGGCTGCCACTGCGAACTTGACCCAGGAATCCAACCTTTTCTTCCGCGTGATCCCAGCGGAACAGAGTTTCGAGGAGAATTATGCTGGCATCTTTCATTTCCGCTTCTGGCAGTATGGTAATTTGAATTAGAAACTAATTTTTCCCACTTGTTAGTTGAAACATTCTGTAAATGTCAATAGGTAAATGGGTGGATGTGATTATTGATGATCGTTTGCCCACTTATAATGGAGAGCTCATGTACATGCACTCCACGGAGAAGAACGAGTTCTGGAGCGCCCTGCTGGAGAAGGCCTATGCCAAGTATGACTATACAATCCATCTACTTTCTGGTCCACTAATGTTGTATATTTCCCAGACTTCATGGATCCTACGAAGCTCTTAAGGGAGGCAGTACTTGCGAGGCCATGGAGGACTTCACCGGTGGCGTTAGCGAGTGGTACGATCTGAAAGAAGCCCCTGGAAATCTCTTCACCATTCTGCAAAAGGCAGCCGAACGCAATTCCATGATGGGTTGCTCTATTGAGCCTGATCCCAATGTCACAGAGGCGGAAACTCCACAGGGTTTGATTCGTGGTCACGCTTACTCTATTACCAAGGTTTTTAATGCTACTGTTAAAGATTAGAACTTTATATTACGCAAAATGTCTTCTATAGGTTTGCCTTATTGACATAGTTACGCCAAATCGTCAGGGTAAGATTCCCATGATAAGAATGCGCAATCCCTGGGGCAATGAAGCCGAGTGGAATGGACCCTGGAGTGATAGCTCCCCGGAGTGGCGTTATATACCCGAGGAACAGAAGTCGGAGATAGGACTCACGTTCGACAGGGATGGAGAGTTCTGGATGTCCTTCCAGGATTTCCTCAACCACTTTGATCGCGTGGAGGTAGGAAGTCATAACTCACTTCAATAAAAATATGATAATTTAAGTAATCCCTTTTCAGATTTGCAATTTGTCGCCGGACTCGCTGACCGAAGACCAACAGCAGAGTGGCAAGCGAAAGTGGGAGATGTCCATGTACGAGGGAGAATGGACACCCGGCGTCACAGCTGGTGGCTGTCGCAATTTCCTGGACACCTTCTGGCACAATCCCCAGTACATCATCACGCTGGTGGATCCCGACGAGGAGGACGAAGAGGGACAGTGCACAGTGATTGTGGCCTTGATGCAGAAGAACCGGAGATCCAAACGCAATATGGGAATGGAATGTCTGACCATTGGTTTCGCCATCTATAGCCTGAATGATCGCGAACTTGAAAACCGTCCACAGGGCCTGAACTTTCTTCAGGTACAAGTCATCTGTGGGACGATCGCCTCACTTCATCAATACCCGCGAAGTACGTATATGGATATTTCTAAAAATGATTCTCTAAATGTCTGGATTTTTGTTCAGGTATGTGCTCGCTTCAAATTGCCCCCAGGTCACTACCTGATTGTGCCTTCGACCTTCGACCCGAACGAGGAGGGAGAGTTCATCATTCGAGTGTTCTCAGAAACTCAAAATAACATGGAGTGCGTACATGTAGACAATGATAATGAGTTTGTATATTAGAAATAATGCGGGGTTTCAAATAACTTAAAGCTTCTAAAGTGCAATACGTGGTATGTGACTACAGTATGATTATATCTTTAGTGCTAGTAAATGTTAACCTAGATTTGTT